TCTGGCTGGGTTTCCCCAGCCACTCTGGGCGGCTTCCAACAGAATACAGTGGTACCTCGGGTTACATACGCTTCAGGTTACAGACTCCGCTAACCCAGAAATAGTACCTCGGGTTAAGAACTTTGCTTCAGGATGAGAACAGAAATCGTGCTCTGGCGGCGCAGCAGCAGCAGGAGGCCCCATTGGCTAAAGTGGTGCTTCAGGTTAAGAACAGTTTCAGGTTAAGAACGGACCACCGAAACAAATTAAGTACTTAACCCAAGGTACCACTGTATTAAAAATAAAATAAAACTTCAGACATTTTTTAAAAAAACAGACTCTCACCACACAGCAAAAAACAAGGCAGGCTCTTGCTCGGAGAGCATCTGCCTGGCATGCAGAATGTCAGTCCCCAATGGTATCTCCAGGCCAGCCTGGGAATGGATGCCCCCCTGCCTGAAACCTTGGAGAGCTGCTGCCAGCCCGTGCAGGCAACACCAGCCTGCCTGCCTCTTCTCCCCCTGCCTTCCTGCCTGTTTTCCTGCCTGCCTTAGGACCACCTCATCCCCCTACCCCTGCAACCCAAATGCCCCCCAGCTTTGCTCTCACCCCTCCTCACCCTCAAAGTGCTGCCACTGGGTGCAATAAAAAAAGAAGAAGAAGAAGAGGAGGAAAAGGAAGTTCCTCCCTTCCTTCCCACCCCCAGCAGCCCACCCCAGTTCCCACGCCTCTCTAGGAGCCAAGGCTCGCTGCCTTTAACCCTTGCCCAGCCGCACTGAAAATTAATAATAATTCCCCCCTTTTCCAGACAATGATCAAAAAAGCCGGATCCACATCCCAAAGATGCTAAGGGTGTGTGTGAGAGAAAGAAAGAAAGAAAGAGAGATGGGGTGATGGGAACGGAATGGCTTGCATCCCTCAACAGGAGCACTGCAACATTTTGTTACAGTGGCCTCACTTGTTATTGATGTATTCCCCCCCCCCATTTATTTCAGGTCACCAAAATCTGTGTGCTGCTTAACTACAGTTTAAAAGACACCCTCAAAGTGGTCTTACAGAAAGAATACCATTTTTTTAAAAAAAGAAACATCAGGGGAAACAGCTATTTAAAAGGTTCAGAAATAATTAAGAACAGTGAAAAGTTAAAAAAAAAAAGATTCAAATACATGTTGACATCCTTCATATCTGGATAGGCTTGTAAAAATAAAGGTTCTACAGTGAAGGCATCTGCCTGATGTCAATAGGCAGAGAGTTCCAATATTGATTTCTGCTGCTATTGTTATTTTAATTTATTACACTGTAAACAGCATTTTAAAAAATGCAATCACAAAAAATATGGTAGCTCTTTACCCCCCCCCCCGCATGAACATCTCTGTATGTGGATAAATGGCAGGAAATACAGTACGATTTATATGTTGCCTTAGAGTTTTTACTTTGATTCTACATATGTAATTATTATTAATATTGATTATTTTCCGTTGTTATCCCTGAGAAACGTAGAAAATAACAGGATATATCTATCCGAAATAATAATAATAATAATAATAATAATAATAATAATAATAATAATTTATTTGTATCCCGCCCATCTGGCTGGGCTTCCCCAGCCACTCTGGGCGGCTTCCAAAAATATATTAAAATACTGTAATACATCAAACATTAAAAGCTTACCCAAAGAGGGCTGCCTTCAGATGTCTTCTAAAAGTCTGGTAGTTGTTGTTCTCTTTGACATCTGGTGGGAGGGCGTTCCACAGGGAGGGTGCCACTACCGAGAAGGCCCTCTGCCTGGTTCCCTGTAACTTGGGTTCTTGCAGTGAGAGAACCACCAGAAGGCCCTCTTCAAACTTACATGACCCTTTAAAAGTTAGCTGATAAAGGTGAATACATCGAAACGGGGCCCTGTCCTGGTTTCTGATCCATAACTGACTTCTGACTTCTGCTCAATGATTGAAACCAAGACCTCCACATTGAATCTGAGTATGGACTAACATGAATTTATCTCTACTCATAAACTCTTACCTTTAATACTGTAACGAATTATTGTGTTATACATATCTTTATGAGTTTGTAATCTCGGTTAGAGTTTGTAATCTCTATTTGAGTTTGTAATCCTTGTCAGAATACATACTTTTGAATGGATTAGTTTTTGTTACAAATGACTATTGATTTGCGAGTAGGGACTACTCCCACTATTGAAACTTACATTGGCCTGAGTTCTTGGTGTGCTTTTTTCTTGGTAGATTTAATAACAAGAACTCCAGCTTATTTAAGGAAATACAGTATAGCATATAAATATGATGAAGTGCCTTGTAGGGGGTTTCCCCCCCTTTCTCTCCTCCCTTTTCCCCCTCTTGCTTTTATATCTTTTGGTTCTTTTTAAAATTCTTGTTTTGTAGGCTAGTTTGATTCTGATTGTATTTTATGTAAAATATTTCAATAACATTAAAAAAAAACAAACCCAGAACAGCAGTGCTCTCCCCTACGCTCTTAAGACATGTTGGTTATGTAGAGACTCCATATTCAGGAGTAGTCGAATGCTGTAAAACTACAGTTTCACCAGAATCAGCACTCCAGCAAAGGATGCTGTAAAATATGGGGGGGGGGGAGCATGGTTTTTGTACTCCACGGAAGATGTACTCCACGCTTTTCCTTTGGACATCCCTATTCTGCCTGCGGACTGTCTCGCCAGAGTGGTGCATGCTCTAGTTATCTCCCGCTTGGACTACTGACACAAAAAACATCGGGTGCTTCCACATGAAACGTTGCACCTTCAGGGATGGCGGCTAACAGATTGAGGTTGAATCCTGACAAGACAGAAGTACTGTTCTTGGGGGACAGGGGGCGGGCTGGTGTGGAGGACTCTCTGGTCCTGAATGGGGTAACTGTTCCCCTGAAGGACCAGGTGCGCAGCCTGAGAGTCATTTTGGACTCACAACTGTCCATGGAGGCGCAGGTTAATTCTATGTCCAGGCCGGCTGTCTACCAGCTCCATCTCGTACGCAGGCTAAGACCCTACCTGCCCGCAAACTGTCTCGCCAGAGTGATGCATGCTCTAGTTATCTCCTGCTTGGACTACTGCAATGCGCTCTATGTGGGCCGACCTTTGAAAGTGACCCAGAAACTGCAACTAATCCAGAATGCGGCAGCTAGACTGGGGACTGGAAGTGGCCGCTGAGACCACATAACACCGGTCTTGAAAGACCTACATTGGCTCCCAATACGTTTCTGAGCACAATTCAAAGTGTTGGTGCTGACCTTTAAAGCCCTAAACGGCCTCAGCCCAGTAGACCTGAAGGAGCGTCTCCACCCCCATCGTCCAGCCTAGACACTGAGGTCCAGCACCAAGGGCCTTCTGGCAGCTCCCTCACTGCGAGAAGCCAAGTTACAGGGAACCAGGCCAAGGGCCTTCTCAGTGGTGGCACCCGCCCTGTGGAACGCCCTCCCACCAGATGTCAAAGAGAACAGCAACTACCAGACTTTTAGAAGACATCTGAAGGCAGCCCTCTTTAGGGAAGCTTTTAATGTTTAACAGACTACTGTATTTTAATACTTTGTTGGAAGCAGCCCAGAGTGGCTGGGGAAACCCAGCCAGATGGGCGGGGTATAAATAATAAATTATTGTTGTTATTATTATTATTATTATTATTATTATTATTATTATTATTCAGACGTCAAAGAAATGTTGGAGAGTATAGTTATGCGAACCCCTGAGCCAAGGAGATTAGTAACTAGACAAGCTTTGGAAGCCATCTAAACGCAGCCCTGAATAGGGAAGCTTTTTAATGTTTGATTATGTTTTCATACATGCTGGAAGCTGCCCAGGGTGACTCGGGCAACCCAGTTAGATGGGCAGGGGATTAATAATAATAATAATAATAATAATAATAATAATAATAGACCATGACGTCCCTATTTTCCTCAGAGAAATGTTGGAGGGTATATTTTTGGGGGGCCCAGGGCCCTCAAATATTTTATGGGGGGGGGGGAGACCAGATGATGTACTATGCTGAAATGGTGAAAATGACCCGGAAAATCAGAAACCAGGAAAAGAAGAACTTTAAGGAGTGGAAAAATTTAAAAATGTATTTAAGAGAACATTGTAAACAACTAAAAACTTTGGCAGTATTTGAGTAACATTTGGAATGTACAAAAAATTATGGATTACTTAAGAAAAGTAGAGAAAATAACAGAAGCAGTTTAAAAAGATTGATAGTGGTAAACTTTGGAAGGACGGAGGGGAGTCGAAGGATTCAGGGAATCCTAAATGATGATGATGTTGATGTTTACTGTTCGAATGTAAATTTGCAATGCAAAACTTAATTAAAAAGATTTGACCAAAAAATTTAATAAGGAATGGGGGAAATTTATAACTTACCTTAAAAGACCATTGTAAACAGTTAAAATCGTTCGTAGGATTGGAATATCGCTTGTAGTTCAATGGTGAATTTTGGATGCAATGGAGAGGTGAAAAGATTTGGATTATCATAAAAGATGCAGGAGGAAATGATAAAACAGTAGGACCCACAAAGGGGAGGAGGGAATTTCAAGAGATTCATAGGAATCTTGTTTTTATGCTGCATGTTGGTTATGTGACTGTAAAACTTTAATCCGAAAAAACAAATAAATTAATTTAAAAAAGAAGGAGTCGGCTCTGATGCCCAGGGCTGCGCGTTCGAGCCGCACGTTGGGTGACAGATTCCTGCATTGCAGGGGGTCGGACTAGATAACCCCGTGGGATCCCTTCAAACTCGATCGTTCTCCGACTAGCGATCTGACCCGGCCCACGGCATCTTCCTCCGCCTCTCCATCCAACACGAGTTAAGCCTTAAATTCAGAGAGCGCAGCTGCGCGCAGCAGCGCAGGCGTCCAAAGCGCATGGCTCTCCCCCTTCCCCGGCAGCTGGAATCCCGGGAACTGTAGTTCTCCCCCTGGCGGAGCTACAGTTCCCGGCACCCTCTGCAAACTACAGTTCCCAGGGTTCTTTGGGTGCGCTTCCAGCAGGCGAGGGTGGGCGGGGCGGCGGCGGCGGCGGCTGGAGAGCCATTTCCTTTCTGCTCGCACGGCCGGCGAGGCTCCACCTCTTCCTCGAGAAAGTGGATTTTGAATTTCCCAACGCAGGGGGCTGCCTCCGCCGGAGAAGCAGCGCTTTCCCAAGCCCGATCGCCGGTGGTCTCCCAGGTGAGGGTCTCCGGAAGGGGAGCAGGGGGGTCGGAGGAGGGGTCTGGCGGGGCTGGGAAGGGGGGCGAGGCTGGAAATGGGGTCCCCGGGTCGGGGCGGTGCAATGGGGCGCCCTCGCCTCTCCAGCTCGGCTCAGGCGCAAAGGAGAGGCGGAAAGGGCGGTCGGAGATGGCCGGGGACGCAACTTGAAACAGCCGCGATGCGGTGAATGCAGGGTTAATCTGGCGCAGGAACAAACCCCCAACGCTCATACCCTCCCAACATTTCTCCAATGGAAATATCCCTCCATCATCATCATCATCATTTTATGATTTATGGGTTTCCCCAGCCACACTGGGCGGCTTCCAACATACATAAAAAAACATTTTAAAACTTCCATGTGCTGGGCTGCCTTCAAATGTCTTCTAAAGGTTGTATATAGTTACTGATCTCCTGGGGGGGGGGGTAGGTCGCAAAACTCCGTTACTCTCCAACATTGAAAATAGGGGCGTCCCAATGAAAAGTGGGATCAAATCAGAAATGGGGGGCAGCTTCTGCAAATCCAGGGCTGTCCCTGGAAAATATGGACGCTTGGAGGGTCTGTAAGACTCGCACTGCCGCACGACAGCAGTGAGTCTTGTGTGGAGCCCTTTGAAGACTAAAGGGTCTATTTTGGCCTTAGGCACGTTTGTGGAACTTCCACTGGCTCATTTTGCTTTTAAAGTTGGGTTTTTAAATTATTATTATTATTACATTGAGGGCCACCTTTATTTTCAAAGGGTCTCAAGTTGGTTTGCCTGGTTCTCTTCTTGCCCATTCCATCCTCTCAACAACCCTGTGAGGTGGGTTAGGTTAAGAGATGAGGACTGGCCCAAGGTCACCCAGTGAACCTCATGGCTGAGTGGGGATTCGAATCTGGGTCTCCCAGGTCCTAGTCCCAACACTCTTAACCGTTACACCTCACTGGGTTTTTAATTGTTGTGATCCGCCCTGGGACCTTAGGACGAAGGTGTGAGGGTTTGTTTGTTTGTTTTTTTCACAATTGAGCGGTATACAGTGGTACCTCGGTTTTCGAACGTCTCCGTTTACAAACGCCGTAAACCCGGAAGTAAACGCTTCGGTTTTCGAACACGCCTCAGAAGTCGAACATGCCGCGCGGCTACTGCTGAGTGCAAGATCCTGAGGCCTAGCTGCCGGCTGTTGAGTCCTGAGCACGGAGGTGATATTTGGGCTTATTTGGTGACTCTCTTGCAACCGATTTGTTTTTGTGACTGTGTGCAATCAAATCTCTGCTCATCTCATCTCAGGATCCCTCTGCCAATCACCCCTTTGCTGTGAGAAATGGATAACAGCTGCAAAGCCAAGAGAACCATTAACAGAACAACCATAGAGGTGAAGAAGGAAATTATTTCCAAACATGAAAGTGGTGCCCGTGTACGTGACCTGGCAAGGCAGTTTGGTATAGCCAAATCGACAATTTGTACCATCTTAAAAAATAAAAAAGCCATTAAAGGAGCCAACGTTGCAAGAGGCGTTAAAACACTGACAAAACAAAGAACGCAGACCATTGAGGAAGTGGAAAAATTGCTTTTCATATGGATAACTGAAAAACAGCTGGCCGGTGACAGCATTTCTGAGAGCATGATTTGTGAAAAAGCTTTACGTTTGCATGCGGACCTTGTCAGAAACATCCCTGGAGCGAGTGAGGGTGAGATTTTCAAGGCAAGCAGAGGGTGGTTTGATAATTTTAAGAGGAGAAGTGGGATACACATTGCGGCGAGACATGGTGAAGTTGCCATTGCCAACAGAGAAGACGCCGACCAATTTGTTTTGGAATTTCAAGGTTACGTAGCGGCTGAGGGTTTCCTTCCCCAACAAGTGTTCAACTGTGACGAGACAGGCCTCTTTTGGAAGAAAATGCCCAAGAGGACCTACATAACAGAGGAGGAGAAATCATTGCCAGGACACAAGCCCATGAAAGACAGGCTGACCCTTTTATTATGTGCGAACGCAAGTGGAGATTTCAAGTTGAAGCCTTTGCTGGTCTACCTTTCGGAGAACCCCAGGGTATTTAAGAAAAACAATGTCATCAAAAGCGAATTGCCTGTGATGTGGAGGGCAAACAGCAGAGCTTGGCTGACCAGGCGGTTTTTCGTTGAGTGGGTTCACGAAGTGTTTGGGCCAAGCGTGAAAAAATACCTCCAGGACCAAAATCTTCCACTGAAGTGCCTGCTTGTTATGGATAACGCTCCAGCCCACCCTCCAGGATTGGCGGACGAGTTGATGGAAGAGTTTGGTTTTATCAGTGTCAAGTTTTTGCCCCCCAACACGACTCCCCTCATCCAGCCCATGGACCAGCAGGTCATGTCTAATTTTAAGAAGCTTTACACCAAAGCAGTGTTCCAAATGTGCTCTGAGGTGACCTCGGACCCTGAGCTAACCCTCAGAGAGTTCTGGAAGAACCGTTTCAATATCCTACATTGCTTACATCTCATAGACAAAGCTTGGGGCGATGTGTCTCAGAGAACATTGAAGTTGGCATGGAAGGAATTGTGGCCGGCAGCCGTTCCTGAAGGTGCATTTGAGGATGTTGGAGAAGATGCTGCTGTTGTTGAGGATATTGTGTCTCTGGGAAAGTCCCTGGGCTTGGAAGTGAGCAGGGAGGACGTTGAGGAGTTAGTGGAGGACCACAAGACAGAGCTCACCACCGAAGAACTCCAGAACATTCTGATGGAGCAGCAACAGGCGGCAACTGAGGAATTGTCTGAGGAGGAGGAGGAAGAGAAGAGAAGAGAAAACGTTCCTACTGCCCTGATCGAAGAAATGTGTGCGAAATGGGCTGAATTGCAAAGCTTTGTTGAAAAATATCACCCTGATGCCGCTGCTGTCAGTCATGCCACCAACACGTTCAATGATAGCGCTATGTCTCACTTTAGACAAATTTTAAAACAACGGAAAAGATCCGCTGAGTCTGAACCAGGTGTCAGTGGTGTAAGAAGGGAGTCAGCTAGAGGGATTCTGGAAGAGGGCTACAGGACACTTGAACAGCAGTCACCTTTTGTGATTATTGAAGGGGACTATCATCAACTTTGCAGGTAAGGAAAAAAATGACATTTCCGTTTTTATCATCTACAGTACTGTTTTTACACTAGTGGCCAAAATTGTTGAAACCTTTTGGGGAAAGTCTATTTCCAAGGTTTGATGGCTCATAACACCACTTTTTTGGGGGAGTAATACCATTAAATCAGTGCTTTTTTCTGGGAGGTACGCATACCTCTAAACATTTTGTGAATCTTTGTACTTTTCTCCATTTACTGTATTTATTTTTCCCAATTTGAACTATAATATGGTTCCCAATTTGAACTATAATTTTCTTCAGCCAAAATGAGAGTACAGTGGTGCCTCGCAAGACGAAATTAATCCGTTCCGCGAGTCTCTTCGTCTTGCGAAGCGCGGCTATTAGCGGCTATTAACGGCTTAGCGGCTTTAAGGCAAAGGAAACAAACTCGCAAGAACTCGCAAGACGTTTCGTGTTGCGAAGCAAGCCCATAGGGAAATTCGTCTTGCGAACGACTCAAAAAACGGAAAACCCTTTCGTCTAGCGAGTTTTTCGTCTTGCGAGGCATTCGTCTTGCGGGGCACCACTGTACCCCTAAACTTTTTTTCAGGAAAAAAAAACACTGCAGAAAATTATATACCAATGGAAATATAATTTAATGAAGAATGTAATGCCACAAAGTTTGTTCAGTTATCTGTATTCTATCAAACGTTATAGCCAAATAACCAGAAAAAGGAGTGTTTAGAGAGCCAATCAGGTGTCATCTTGTTTTGGCAATGATGGCTCATAACACCACTTTTTTTTGAGTAATAACATAAAATGATATTTCCGTGGAAAGATAATTTATTGAATAATGAATGTAATGAAGAAGCACCTGTCTGAGCTGCTGCCAGCCAGAGCAGGCGGCACAGAGCTAGGTGGGGTAATGGTCTGGCTCTGGATAACGCAGCTTACTGTGCCCTGTCTAAGCCATGTGTCACACAGCCTTAAAAATAATAAAAGAATAATTTTTAAAAATTATTATTATTATTATTAATTGAACTTCTATCTCGCCCTATACCCAGAGGTCTCAGGGTGGTTCACAGAACAAAATCAAAGTATAAAACCACAAAATATATACAGTGGTACTTTGGTTCTCAATCTGTTCCAGAAGTTGGTTCCAAAACCAAGGTGCGCTTTCCCATAGAAAGTAATGCAAAATAGATTAATCTTTTAAAAACAACCCCTAAAACAGCAATTTAACATGAATTTTACTATCTAATGAGACCATTGCTCCATAAAATGAAAGCAATAAACAATGTACTGCAGTTACACAGTCATTCAATCAGTAGCTGAACTGGGTTCCACACAATGACAAAAATAAAAACTGCAAAACCAAAAAATATACAGTGGGGATGCGAACGGGATCCGTTCCGGAGCCCCGTTCGCATCCTGAAGTGAACGTTACCCCTGCGTGTGACATCATCTGTGTGAGCGGCGAAACCCGGAAGTAACATGCTCTGTTACTTCCGGGTCGCCACGGAGCGCAACCCGAAAATGCTTCAACCCGAAGTATGACAGCATAGCAAAAACAGTCAGACGTTAGCATAACACTCAAAACGGAAGCGTAACACTCAGATCAGAAACATAACACTCAAAACGGAGCACGTTCAGCTTCTGAAAAAAGTTTGCAAACCGGAACACTTACTTCCAGGTTTGCTGTGTTTGGGTCCCAAGGCGTTTGAGTACCAAGGTGCCGCTGTAATCAAAATCAAAACAATAACCCCCCCTATAAATTTTATTTTATGTTTTATCACGTCACACTTAGCCTTGAATCCCGTCTCGCCCTTTCTCACCCAGGCCTCATCAAGCTTGGTACGTGAGGCCGCTAAGCTGCCCAGGGACGACAATGAAAGAGGCGCTTGCCGCAGGCTCGGAAGATTTCAAGACGGAGGTGTTTGAAGAGGGTCTTCCTCACCACAGCCCACCTCACCTGGAGCCCCAGGAGATCAAGGTGGAGCCAGAGGAAAGGCCTCTGCACTCCTGGGATGCTCAGTGGCAGGGCTGCCCGCCGGGAGATGAGCCCTCGCATTCCACGTGGGACGCCGCTCAGCCGTCAGGGGACGAGACCCCTCCGGTTATCCCGGACGTCCGCCGGGAGCCTGCCGGGAAGGGGAGGGCGAAGCGCGTCCCGGCCTTCCGAGACGGAGACTGGAAGATCTCCAGGACCCTGAAACCAGGAGACCCAAACGGGAAGGGCGATGTCCCGAGCGGAGGCAACATCGACACGGAGGCCAAGCGCCAGCGTTTCCGGGGTTTCCGCTACTGGGAGGCCGAGGGGCCTCGCACAGCCTGCGACCGGCTCCAGGAGCTGTGCTACGGCTGGCTGAAGCCGAAGAGGCACACCAAGGAGCAGATCTTGGAGCTGGTGGTCTTGGAGCAGTTCCTGGCCGTCCTGCCGCCGGAGATCCAGAGCTGGGTGAGGGATGGTCGCCCCGAGACCTGCAACCAGGCGGTGGACCTGGCAGAAGCCTTCCTGCTGAGGCCTCAAGAGGTAGGGAGCAGGTGGGAAGGGCAGGTGAGGGGTTTCGGGGGGGGGAAACTTCCTCGGGGGAATATGAGAGGGTGGTGGTGGTGTGGGTGCAAGGAGCAGGGAGCCTGGACCCACATGGGCAAGGACCCAAGGTCACCCAGTGAGTGGGGATTCGAATCCCGGGTCTCAATAACAACAACAACAACATATTATTTATACCCCACCCATCTGACTGGGTTTCCCCAGCCACTCTGGGTGGCTTCCAACAGAATATTAAAATACAATAATCTATTAAACAGGGCTAGGGACGCGGGTGGTGCTGCGGGTTAAACCACAGAGCCTAGGACTTGCCAATCAGAAGGTTGGCGGTTCGAATCCCTGTGATGGGGTGAGCTCCCGTTGCTCGGTCCCTGCTCCTGCCAACCTAGCAGTTCAAAAGCACACCAAAAGTGCAAGTAGATAAATAGGTACTGCTCCGGCGGGAAGGTAAACAGCGTTTCCTTGTGCTGCACATTACCCGTAAGCTGTCCCTCAGCCAATAAAGCGAGATGAGCGCCGCAACCCCAGAGTCGGTCATGACTTGACCTAATGGTCAGGGGTCCCTTTACCTTTAAACAGGGCTGCCTTCAGATGTCTTCTAAAAGTCTGGTAGTTGTTCTTCTCTTTGACATCTGGTGGGAGGGCGTTCCACAGGGCGGGTGCCACTACTGAGAAGGCCCTCTGCCTGGTTTCTCATAACCTCACTTCTCGCAGTGAGGGAACCGCCAGAAGGCCCTTGGCGCTGGACCTCAGTGTCCGGGCTGAATGATGGGGGTGGAGACGCTCCTTCAGGTATACTGGACCGAGGCCGTTTAGGGCTTTAAAGGTCAGCACCAACACTTTGAATTGTGCTCAGAAACATACTGGGAGCCAGTGTAGGGCTTTCAAGACCAGTGTCTTTCAAGACTCTCTCAACAGTTACGTTGTACTGGGTTTTAAATTGTTGTGATCTGCCCCGGGACCTTAGGATGAAGGTTTGAGAACCCATTCATCAGTTGCTCAGTCTCTCTCCCTTTCTGGTCAGATCCACACAATAAAATCAAAACACATCCAGCTCACATTTAAAAGCACCCGGCTTCTCCCCAAATAATCCTGGGGATTGTTGGCTTTTGAGGGTGCTGGGAATTGTAGCTGTGGGGATGTGGGGCAACTACACTTCCCATTATACTTTTAGGGAAGTCTTTGTGTAGAGCTGCTCTCCATTGCTCACAAAACACCCATTCATTCTTACTGGCGGGGAAAAAAACCAATGGTGTCTTGTGAGAGGAAAGTAGATAGAGAGAATTTTTTCTCTTGTCATAATCCTGGCCTGCTAGATGTTGGCAGGCAGGCAGGGTCGAGGGAACAACAATATCTGGAGAGAGACGCAGCATTTGGGGCTTTTTTAGTTTAGACAAAAAGTGAGCATGGCCAGTCTCTCTTTTGATTTGTTCAGGCTCCCAATTCTGAGGCAGGATCCACAAAACCACATCTCATTCTTGACTGAAACGGTTGGTCAAGACTTCTACCCATAGCTGTCAACGTTTCCCTTTTTTTAAGGGAAATTCCCTTATTCCGAATAGGATTCCTCGCAAGAAAAGGAAAAAGTTGACAGCTGTACTTCTGCGCGAACCTAAGGGGTGGGCTGTCTTTTCCTTCTTGAGGGGGGCATTCCCTTCTGAGGGCCACGCTCCACAGGCAGAAGTGAGAGGAACAATGGATTCAAAATTTATTTTTATATAGGACGGTGGGCTAGTTTCTGCGCAAACTCACATACCCCTCTCTAATCCAGACATGATCAGAGTTCAAGAACACATCATGGAGGCAGAGGAGCAGAGGCTACGAGGGGAGTTGCTCACCCCTGCCTCGGACTGTGGAGGGGTTTGTTTTTTCTCCATTTATATCCCACCACCTTCTCCAAGGAGCTCAAGGTGCTGCACATGGCATCTTCCCCTCCTTATTTCATCCCCACAACAACACTGTGAGGTAGGTTAGGCGTAGAGGCAGCGACTGGCCTGAGGTCACCCAGCGAGCTTCCATGGCGAAGTGGAGATTTGAACCCTGGTCTGCCAGAACCTGTTCTGGTGGCACCTGGCTCTCAATACGACAGTCGTGGTCTGTGGGGGGCATAGGCCGGAGACTGAATTGGACAGCCTGCTGTTGTGTCTTAATAACGGGGGTCACATTTGGCTGTTTTAGGATCTGGACACGTACGACGAAGTGGTTGTGGGCCTGTCGGATGGAGACCAGGGTTTGATGGAGACCGAGGTGAAGGAAGAGGTCGACGACAGCCCTAGCTCGCCAGGTACGGCTTTCTTGCCTCTTAAATTCTGTGCTTTCCGAAGGCAGCTTTGGTTGAAAAGAGCCTGGCTGCTGCGTCAGGCCAGATACGATACGATGCGATAATCTTTATTGTCATTGTCCCATACAGAACAACGAAATTGAAAAAATCTACATAAGACATTCAAAACCCAACAAGCCTGCTATCCCAGCTATCCCAACCTGGTTACCCCCCTAAAAACTCTGATACCCCATTTTTAAATACAATATACTCCCCTACAGACTCCATAAAGGTAAAGGGACCCCTGACCATTAGGTCCAGTTGTGACCGACTCTGGAGTTGCGGCTCATCTCGCTTTATTGGCCGAGGGAGCCGGCGTACAGCTTCCGGGTCATGTGGCCAGCATGACTAAGCCACTTCTGGAGAACCAGAGCAGCGCACGGAAACGCCGTTTACCTTCCCGCTGGAGCGGTACCTATTTATCTACTTGCACTTTGACGTGCTTTTGAACTGCTAGGTTGGCAGGAGCAGGGACCGAGCAACGGGAGCTCACCCCGTTGCGGGGATTCGAACCGCCGACCTTCTGATCAGCAAGCCTTAGGCTCCACAGCGCCACCCGTGTCCCGTTCAGACTCCTTACAATGCGTTTAAAACCAACATGGCATTTGAGTAGAAACTGTTTCTCAGGCGGCTAGTCCTAGTCTTTATAACCCTGTACCTTCTTCCAGAAGGCAGAAGCTGAAAGAAATAATTTCCAGGGTGCGCACTGTCCTGCGCTATCTCTGCAGCTTTCTTATGGCACCTGGAATCATAGATTTGATCCAAATGGGAAGAGTGCACCCAATTATTCTCCCCGCAGTCTTTACAACCCTGGACAGCATTGTTTTTCCCCTGACAGTGCAGCTCCCAAACCACACACACAGACCATAAGTTAATACACTCTCAGCAGTACAATGGTAAAATGCCATCAACAGGTCCTTTGAGCCACACCCTGTTCAGGATCCTGATCTCCCACTGGTCAACCAGGGGAGCCCACAAGCAGCACCCAAAGGCAACAGCACTCCTCCTCTGTGGTTTACATCTGTTGTTGTTTTATTGAATAAAAACCACAATATATATATTCAAAATAAAAACAACAACCCAATAAGAGGCACATTTTAAGAGTATAGGATGTCATCAGGTCAACCAAAGGGCTGGTTAAAAGAACATTTTTGACAGCACCTAAAGGTGTAATGAAGGAGCCAGGCGAACTTCCCTGGGGAGAGCATTCCACAGACAGGGAGCCACTGCAGAGAAGGCCCTGTTCTTGCCTTCCCACCCTCTGGACCTCTCATGGAGGAGGCACAGAAAGAAGGTCCTCAGAGGACGATCTCAGGGTCTGGGAAGGTTCATACGGAAAGAGACATTGCGGTCCTGAGCCATTTAAGGCTTTATAAGCCAAAGCCAGCACTTTGAATTGGGCCCGGAAATGGGAGGCTTTGACAGATAAAAATGACACCCTGTGTGAAATGATCTGGGAGGCTTTGACTGTGTTAGGGAGGAAGCAGGAAGGGAGGGTAAAAAGGATAAAAGTTGGTGGCAATGTAAAATTAAAAAGGCCTGGGGAAAGACATATAAAGATTGGAAAGGAATGTGGGAAATTATTGTTGTTAAAAAAAATTGAAGTTACGCTATTGAGATGTACAGGTTTTGATGGACTTATTGAACGAAATACTTTGTTCCTGTACTTAAGAGTGGACGCCAGGCCAAGACCAGCCAGCTCGAACACAAGGAAGACTCCTCTGCCAGAGAAGATGAAGGAAGATTGGCAAAATAATCTCTTGAACTATGCAGGACAAATCAGTTAACTTGAACCCCAAGAAAAGAAAGAGGACTTTGAATTTTCTAAAAAGGGGCAAATGTTTAATGCATATCTTTTAAGCATTGTGTATAGATTTTTACATTAGTCTAACTTCTAAAAGTCACTTGTAACAAGTTTAAAATTGTTTTAGGTTTAAAATTGGACTATTAAGAATATAAGGTTTAAAGGATGTGCGTGAACGAATCCTAAACAATGGAACCAGGAGGGGGAGTGGAGGGAAGTCAAGCAAAAAGTATGGTTTGAAAATTTGTTTATGATGTTTTCTTTCTCTTTCTGCATTATGGTTGCTATTTTTATTTTTGTTGTTACTTTTGGAAAATTAATAAAATGTTATCAAAAGAAAAAATAATAATTGGGCCCAGAAGCTAATCGGTAGCCAGTGCAATCGGATCAGGATCGGTATAATATGCTCAAACCGCCTTGCTCCAGTGAGCAACCTGGCCGCTGAATTCTGCACTACCTGAAGTTTCCAAGCTGTCATCAGAGGCAGCCCTATGTATAACGCATTGCAGTAATCTAACCTTGAAGTTACCAGAGCATAGACAATGGTATTTAGGCTATCCTTGTCGAGATAGGGGCATAGCTGGGCCACCAGCTGAAGCTGATGGAAGGCACTCTGGGCCACTGAGACCACCTGAGCCTCAAGGGATAACAAAGTTGGTATCCAAAGGCATTTCCCATCTCTGACTGTGGCAGGAGAATGTAACCATTGTGACTTGGGTTCATGGTATCCCTGCAGAAATCCCCTGAGCATGGGCAGTCCTCTCTGCATTATTTTTGCTCACGGCTGTCGGAAGGACATAACACACAATGGAAATATTAGTGTTTAAAGTCCTAAATGATATGAAATAATAAATAAATCATATAAATAATTTTTTATTGATACCCCGCCCTTCCCGGTTCAGAAAAACGGGCTCAGGGTGGCCGACAACAAATTCAAAACACTTAATGGATGCAACAAAAAACAGCATAAAATACAGTATAAAACGTGAATAACAATAAATTCTGAATTCAAAAATCAGTTTAGGGGGGAAATCCATCCAATAAACATTAGATGATCACCAGGGCTAGCTGGCTAAATTAGTCCTATTTGGGCCAGCGAGGAGATCAGGGGAGAATTAGCTGTGGGGTCCCAGAGCGGGTAAGGGGAGGGGGAGGGAAGGAAGGGGAATAAAAGATCAGGCTAAGTTCAAATTGAAAGCCAGGCAGAATAGTTCTGTCTTACAGGCCCTGCGGAAGGAGGTTAAATCCTGCAGGGCCCTGGTCTCATGGGACAGAGCATTCCACCAGGTCGGAGCCATCACTGAGAAGGCCCTGGCCCTGGTGGAGGATAGTCTGACTTCCTTAGGGCCCGGGACCTCTAAACTATGGTTATTCATGAACCTTAAGGTCCTCTGTGGGGCAGACCAGGAGAGGCGGTCCTGTAAATATGAGGGCCCTAAGCTCCCTCCTTTGCTACAGACCATCTTGTTTTAGTGGTGTTCAATAAGCAAAGCTTTGTTATCTTGGAAGGTGTTATACATTGGGTGGGATTCACTTAGGGTGTTGCACAAGTGGAAGCAACGGGACTTTCCCACCTTCTGCCCCCACTCCAAATCTACTCTGGAGGGCTGGGGGAACCCCTATAATAAGAATAATAATTTATTATTTCTACCCCAGCCACTCTGGGCAGCTCCCAACAGAATTAATGATAATAATATTTTTTTTAAAGCGATAAAACATCAGACACTAAAAACTTCCCTAAACAGGGCTGCGTTCAGATGTTTTCTAAAAGTCAGATAGTTGTATATTTCTCTGACATCTGATGGGAGGGTGTTCCACAGGGCGGGCGCCACTGCCGAGAAGGCCCTTTGCCTAGAACAGGTGTAGGGGGTTTACAGGGCAGGAGACGGGGGAACATGGTGCTGCGCAAGCAATTTAATTCCACGTTGAATTCTGCTCTATACGCAATTCATTTCCATGTACTAAATTCTATTGCAGTTTCTGCACCTTTATAGACGTTTGTACCGGCTTGCACGGTGTTCCGTTCTGAGGTGGACTGCCGCAATAAAACGCTGTTCTCTTCTGCTCCAGGACGTGAAATATTGTTGGATGAAAGCGGAAAGGAAGCGCGGCATGTGTCTGCCGAAGAATCGGAGTCCGATATGGAAGAGGAAGAATGTGAGATGGAAGAAGGGAGCTTTGGCGATCTGGGCGGAGCAGAGGGACACATGGCAAACGAAATCCAAGTCTGGAAGATCACGGGGCCCCAGAGCTTGCAGGAGGGCATGGGCAGACACGTGTGCCCCGTTTGCGAGAGAGCGTTCACTCGCAAATCGAGCCTCAACCGACACCTGATAATCCACTCGGGAGAGAAGCCCTACAGGTGTCTCGACTGCGGGAAGGGCTTCAACCGCAGGACCAACCTGATGGCTCACGAGGCCGTCCACACCGAAGAGAAGTCCTACCAGTGCTCCGAGTGCGGGGAGAGCTTCAAGCCAAAATGGGGCATCGCCCCGTACCAGGTGGATCCCACGGGGGAGAAGGTCTACAAGTGCTTGTCGTGCAAGAAGAACCTCCGGCAGACGGGCAGCGTGATGAGTTGGCGGCTGCTGAACGAGCAAGGGAAGGAGATCCAGCCGCAGCCCTCGGACGTGCCGGGCCCCGAGAAGGAGGAGAACGTCCCCGAGCACCAGAACGAACCTGAGATCGATCTGGGGAAGGACGTGTCTGTGGGGACAATCGAGTCGGTGATCGTTCCGGGCGGCGACCTTTGCTTCATCAAGACCCCGGCGAAGTTGTACAAGGGGAAGCGGATGAGCCCCTGCCCCGTGTGCGGTAAGGTCTTCGCCACACAGTCGAGCGTCAACCGGCACCAGAGGATCCACACGGGGGAGAAGCCCTACAAGTGTTCCTACTGCGGGAAGAGCTTCAACCAGAAGACCAGCCTGCTCACCCACGAAGTCATCCACACCGAGGAGAAGCCGTACCAGTGCTCCGACTGCGGGAAGAGCTTCCGGCACTCGTCGGGCCTTCAAGTGCACCAGAGGATGCACACGGGAGAGAAGCCGTACACCTGCCTGGTCTGCCGCAAGAGCTTCAGCCAGCGGGCGCACGTGATCAAGCACATCGTGAGGAAGCACAAGGGGGAGAAACCCTCGTCCTACGTCTCTCAGCCGTCCGAGAGCTGAGGCGCGCGTCCCCTCCGGGCTCCCGGACTAAGATACAAGAGCAGACTGCAGTCTTAGCGTAGTTTGTTTAGGTGTAAGAATCCCCGCCCGCTCAGGATCCGCTCCTGACTTTTTGGGACTGGACATGCCTCTTTCTTGGAAAGAGAAAAATCCCAGGCCAGTGTACTCAAGCAGAGTCACAACAGGCACACTCCTCTGAGGGAATTTGACTGTGCCGCTATATCGGAGGTGATTTGAGCAATCGCACTTAGTCTCTGGATGGGCAGCGTTTGTTGCCGTCTCATGGAGGCCGATCGGAAAGAGGGAAAACCTCTGCAGCGAATCGCTTGCGAGTCCTGCCCCTGCTCACTAGCGTACCCTGATGCCCAGCATGGGAACTGCAGCGATAGTTAACACCAGAGCTTTTCGGTTGCTAGACATCCACCTCTGTATATGGTTAGGTTGCTGCTGTGCCAATAAATGTTGGTTGGTGGGCATCTGGGGATGCGCAGAGGGAATATACCTCTTTGGGCTATGAAGAACTTGTTGCAATTCCATCCTCCACCCCATCGATGATTTCTCTATATTCGGAATGGATGGGGCACGAGGAATACGGTGACAGTTTTCTCTGCGTCAACTGGTCATGGACAACTTGCGACATGCAACTAGTCCTATATAGTTTCTGTGTGTTTTAGTAACTTGACGTCGGATTATGTCTCCGCTGCAAAGTTTTGGTAACTTGGGCTTTGAGCCTCGCAGGTGGGGCTCACCTCTGTGGGTGTACGTAGCAGTGGGCGGCTGATTCATTAGGGCAGCTGCTTATTGGGTCTGGCAGGGCAGAAGGCTGGGAGGCGGAGAGACGACGGCAGGCAGAGCCAGTCTAGTTCTAGTTTCCCCTTATTCTCCCTGCTCTGCAAGGAGAACACTGTATGCAGGTGGGTGTTGCTGAGGACCGGCTGAGCTTGGTGGAGCATTGACCCCCCCCCCATTTGCCCTAGTGGACCAGCCTCTGTTGCCTGCCGACTGCCATCTTACAGATCGCTCAGAGGAGTGTCCCACGCTGCCCTCAGTCCATTTCTGCCCTTGTAGAACTCAGCAGGAGGGTGGGGACAAAAGCAGTTGGCTCCTCCTAGTCCAACTCTATGATTCTCTCGTTGGCTCTGGCGCCACCTGCTCCCTTCCTTCCGCCCCACCACAGCCACTGACCATTACTCCCCTTAAGTAGTTATAGGATTGCAGCCCTAGTCCTTTGGGTAGCAAGGGTGCCGTGTAGAATTTTTAATTAAAGTTTAACTCGTGTATGAAATGTACGCAGGCAGCCCTGGGTTCAGGCCCCCACCTCCAGCGTCACCCCTTAAAGAAGTGTCTCGGGGGGAACAATAAGCCTTGGAGCATTTTTTTTTAAAGAATAAAATAGTATTTTGTATCAAAGTAATAGTTTAGTTAGTTTATTATCTGCATCCCGCTTTTCTACTACAATAATTAAAGCGGTTTACAATTCATGTAAAAAATAAAATAGGCTGGGAAATAATTTTTAACCATACCTTGCAAAATTGTACACCTTTCAAGCAGTAAAAGAGCTGCCCCTTTAAAGATATCACTAGATTGGCCAGCTGACTTGGTGTGAAGCAAGCTTTGTGTGTTCCCTTTGAGGACAATTTAGGGCAGCTTTCCAAAAATCCCCTCTGGGTTAGTCTTTTCTGTTCTTGGTGGACTTCCAGATGTTTTGATTCTGCCGGCTGGCGCCGGTGGGAGTCGTAGTTCAAACATCGGGGGAGGCACCTGGTTGGGCAAGGCCGTGTTACATACTGGGCAGAGCCACGCCACCCATTTAAAGCACAACCGACGCACATTTAGAGCACATCACTTCCCCCAAATAATCCCTCAAACTGTAGCTTGTTAAGGTAAAGGTAAAGGGACCCCTGACAATTAGGTCCAGTCGTGACCGACTCTGGGGTTGTGGCGCTCATCTCACTCTATAGGCCAAGGGAGCCGGCGTTTGTCCGCAGACAGCTTCCGGGTCATGTGGCCAGCATGACTAAGCCGCTTCTGGCAAACCAGAGCAGCGCACGGAAACGCTGTTCACCTTCCCGCCGGAGCGGTACCTATTTATCTACTTGCACTTTGACTTGCTTTCGAACTGCTAGGTTGGCAGGAGCAGGGACCGAGCAACGGGAGCTCACCCCGTCGTGGGGATTCGAACCGCCGACCTTCTGATCGGCAAGTCTGAGGCCCTGTGGTTTAACCCACAGCGCCACCCGCATCCCTTGTAGCTTGTTAAAGGTGCAGGGAATTGTAGCTCCGTGGTGGTGGGGAACTACATTTCCCACGATTCTGTTGGGAAAGCCATGTGCTTTAAATGGACGGTGTAGATCTTCACAGTGCCGCCCTGCAGTAAATTTCATGTCTTTGTCCATGGTGAGAGCAGATGGATAAATAGCCATCCATATATTGTTGGTGTTGTGCTTTCAAACAGTTATGGTGCACAGATCTACAATTTACAGGGCAGGTTTACAGAGATGTAAGTCTTACTCAGTTCAATGGGGCTTACTCCAAGGCAAATGTGTATCAGATTGCAGCCTGAAGCAAAATTGCTTAATTTATGGAGTGCTTGTTAAAAAAAGAGTGCGGCAGGAGGCACATGAAAATGACTTTCTGGAAACTGTTCACAAATTGCTTCATTTGGATCTTATCAGAAGTTTTCTGTCACAATGTTTGCCAGTGTTTTCTCTCTCTCTGCATGGGAAGGTGAGAAAGACCTTGAGGGATTTCTATGTGGGAGAGACAGCCTGTGAACCTCTCATGAAATAAACAATGAAACTAATACCAGCCTCCTAATTGGGCTCCAGATCTCCAGAGGTTTGATTTTATCCATGAAGAGTATTATACCCTCTTTAGCTCCCAAGAGGGCTTATTATTAAAACACACCCAGAGATGTGATTATAATGGAGACAAAATGTGGCCATGCGTGGACAGCTCCTGCTTAGGGTGTCAGGCATCTAAGAATATTAATAATAATTTTATTATTTATACCGCACCCGTTGTTCCAAGATATCCCATTCCATTCCCCGCCTCTGGGTTTCCATTGCCCACAGGGGTTCAGTTCCTCGCCCACTGAGCATGCTTGCAGTGTGCAAGCCTAACCATGTCTACTCAGAAGTAAAAGGTAAAGGGACCCCTGACCAGGTCCAGTCGTGGCCAACTCTGGGATTGCGCGCTCATCTCGCTTTATTGGGAGCCGGCGTACAGCTTCTGGGTCATGTGGCCAGCATGACTAAGCCGCTTCTGGCGAACCAGAGCAGCGCACAGAAACGCCATTTACCTTCCCGCCGGAGCGGTACCTATTTATCTACTTGCACTTTGACGTGCTTTCGAACTGCTAGGTTGGCAGGAGCAGGGACCGAGCAACGGGAGCTCACCCCGTCACGGGGATTCAAACCGCCAACCTTCTGATCGGCAAGTCCTAGGCTCTGTGGTTTAACCCACAGCTCCACCCACGTCCCATAGTGCAAGCCATAAGCTTCCTTGAGGCGGTCTCCAGCATTGCATTAAAAATTCCTACAGGTTTTTAATTGTACTTTTATCCCTTTATTTCTTGTCTTGTATTAGAATTTTTGAATTCAAAATTGCAATAAAATACTATGTAAGAAATTAAAGTCATAATGAGAATATCATTAAATGGTCTGCTGGCTTCACAAAGAAGCAATTCCTAGCACCTTCAGCAAACTGCAGTTCCCAGGATTCTCCATGATTATTAAAGGTAAAAAAGGTAAAGGTACCCCTGCCCGTACGGGCCAGTCTTGCCAGACTCTAGGGTTGTGCGCCCATCTCACTTAAGAGGCCAGGGGCCCAGCGCTGTCCGGAGACACTTCCGGGTCACGTGGCCAGCGTGACAAGCTGCATCTGGCGAGCCAGCGCAGCACACGGAACGCCGTTTACCTTCCCGCTGGTAAGTGGTCCCTATTTATCTACTTGCACCTGAGGGTGCTTTCGAACTGCTAGGTTGGCAGGCGCTGGGACCGAGCAACGGGAGCGCACCCCGCTGCGGGGATTCGAACCGCCGACCTTTCGATCGGCAAGCCCTAGGCGCTGAGGCTTTTACCCACAGCGCCACCCGCGTCCCCATGATTATTAAAGTATGCTTTAAATCATGGCATTGATGCTTGTGACCTGTAGCAGGAACCCCCCCACCCCAATCATTCTGTTTGTACAAACTTCACACATACACTCACACACTACATACGCCACACTTCTGTTATAAATTCATAGAAAAATCAACCATACATTGGATTTGCACTGTTCCATTTTTATTTTACTCCATATGACAAGGACTATCAAAAGGGGGTGGCTTGGTTCTGGTCAGCCATAATCCCTTCACCATCCCAGGACATCCACAGGAGCCCTGCCCAGTTGCTATGCCAACCCTGATGATCCCAGACAGAAGACAATCAAGATCACAAAGAACTTGCATATGGGAGTGGATTCAGCATGGACTGAAACAAAGGACAATGATCAGATCTTCCCTCTGGGGGCAGGAAACTGCAAACTCCCCTTTGTCTCCTGGAAGTGACTCATGGGGAGGGGGAAAGGAGGAACCAGCCAGGTGACAAGACACTCAGGTTACCACCAACTCCTCCCTCAACCCCTCCTTTCTGTAATGTATGCATGATGTTTCTGGGGGTGGGCTTGACCTAGAGGAGGGGAATTTCAAAAGTTTTTATAAGACCTTGCACACCATCTTTCTGGGTCTTTCCTCTCACCTGCAAGTGAGGGGAGCACCCTGTGGTGACAGTCTTTCTTCAATAAAGACCAAGCCTACAGGCTGCTGATTTGGTTCAATTTACTCTGGTTGGTGTCTTTACTTTTTGTCCAAGGGAGCCCTCGGATTTTTCCGGTAACAGACCTCAGTGGGAAAAAGACATTTTGTAAAAGCAACAACAGGGTAAGAATATTAATATTCTACAGCATTTTAAACTTGTCTGGGGGAAGGGGGAGGGTTTATTGTTTTGCTGTTTTTGTTTTAATTATTTACCTGTGTTTTTACATTGCATTTTATTCTGTGAGATCTTTTCATGAAGGGTGGTTTATAAACTTAATAAACAACAACAGCATCATCATCATTATTAAATTTATTACTTTTACCCCGTCCATCTGGCCGGGCCTCCCCAGCCACTCTGGGCGGCTTCCAATAGGATGTTAAAAACACAATAAAACATCAAACACTCAAAAGTCCCTAAACAGGGCATCTGCCAGGGATCATTTTGCTGCAATTCCTGCATTGCATGGGGCTGGACTAGCTGACTGTAGTGGTCCCTTCCAACCCTACAGGTCAAATAATAATAATAATAATAATAATAATCCTCATAGGGGAATAGTTCAAGCCCCTTGATCACAGGGATGGGGGAACTTGTAGCTCTCCAGATACGGTGTGGGTTTTTTGTTTGTTTTACATTCACTTTCTGCAGTGAACATAAATACTGTACATTCAAAACTTTAAAGGGGGGGGTGGAGGGGGAAGGGAATGGGTTCCGACAGAGCCCGCTGCACATGCACTTCATGCAAACAATTCCAAATATTTCTCCTCTTGGCGCCACCTGCCGAAAGCAGCTTTCCCTAGATTTAAGTCTTCTGACCATTTAGCAACTCTTGATGGGGGTGGGGCTTTGATTCCAGACGTTGCAGATCTCCAGGTCCCACCACCCCAGCCCCATTGGCCAACATCTGGAGGGCTGCAGTAACCCCCCCCCCTAAAAAAAAATTCCACTCGCCTTGCAGGAAAGGGGGCGGAAAATCCACCCACCCCCCTCGTTTCCGCAAAGCGTAGCTAATGTTCCGGGCACCCAGGGGTTAAGCTGCGAGAGCCTTGGATTCCTAGAGAGGCCACGCGGGCCTCTGCTGTACGTCACCTGGTCCTCCCAGGATCCGGGCGCGCGCGCGCAGACGTGACACGCCCCCCGCAGGCTCCGCCCCTTTCCCTGCCGCATGGGCTGTTTCTTCATCATTGTTTTGGTCGGCATCAGCCACGTGGGAAGCGAGTAAGTGCAAAGAAGAGGCTCCTTTGCAGGGAAATCCGATTTTGTGGAAGGAGAAGGTGAGCAGGTATTGAGAAGCCGGAGGGGAAATATCTTGGGGGTGTGTGTGTGTTTTGTGGGATGGCAAAACAGCTTTGCAGCCGATTTCCTCCTCTCTCTCTCTCCATCCCCAAATTATGTTCTTGGAGCGAAAAAGCGCGTGGAATTTGTAGGACTTATTTATTTAATTCAGCGTTTAGACACACGCCGTTCGTTTGCAAGAAGCTGCTAATCCCAGCTTTTCTCGGGGGTGTTTGTATTTTTTTTAATTTTATTTTAAACAGGTTTAACAGCCTGTGAATCGGAGGTGATGAACCAGGAGGGCGCGTGGGGATGGGGGTGGAATCGCGGAAGGTCCCGAGTTCGAATGCTACCTCTGCTCTGAATTTACTAGGTGGGCTTTTATGGATCGAAGTATCTATTAACTCCAGCCTCCTCCAGTTCTTTACAAGAGGAGCAGGAAGATTGCCTTACCAGCTGTGATTCAGTGGCTGCATACGCACCATACCTTTAAAATAACACACACACCCCGCCAAAGAATTGTGGCAACTTAGTATACCCCACCCCATAGAACTAAAGTTCCCAGCACCCTTAACACACTATAGTTTTCAGGATTCTTCAGGGGGAAAGTTCAGAAAGCATGTGATCAGATTCACAGTTCAACTTCCTAAGGAAGTGTGATTAGCCTCAACCAGAGCCAGGGCCTTCTCAACACTGGCTCCGGCCTGGTGGAACGCTCTGCCTCATGAGACCAGGGCCTTGAAGGATCTGATTTCTTTCCGCAGGGCCTGTAAGACAGAGCTGTTCCACCTGGCCTTTGGCTGAGAATCAGTTTAATTCCCTCCCCCTCTTTCTTTTTTCTTTCTCCTCCTCTGAAGGGGCTGCATCCTAATGTTTTAATGTTGTATTTTAATCTTGTTTTTTAAATTGTATTTTAATCAACTTGTTTTTATTACTGGTTGTTAACCGCCCTGAGCCCGGCCTTGGCTGGGGAGGGCGGGGTATAAATAAAATTTATTATTATTGTTGTTGTTGTTGTTTTCCTTTAGGGAGAAGTAGAGTTTGCAAGAGGAGCAAGCTGTTAGTAGCTCCTGTGCAAACCCCTAGTTTTTCTGCACACCTGTTCCTTTCTAGATCAGCCAGCTGAAATGGACGAAGTCCAGCACAAAGGCTAGGCATCCCTTGCTTGCTTCTTGCCTTCAGAAAGCGGCTCAGTTTTTTCATTTTTTAAAAAATTATTATTCGCTTAGGAACTGTTTTCAAGTTTTGTCTGCGGTAAAGATGTCAGGAGAGTGGTCAGCAGCTGAGGTGGATGTGGTCAATCCTGGGGATCTGGAAGCAATGAAGAACGAAGCAAGGACTCTCAGCATTGCCCAGGTTGGGACGATTGGAGAGTTTGCGAGTTGGGCCATGCCAAGACCAGGGCGGCTGGAAGCTGAGGAGGGATTGGCCCACAGCTGGGAAGTCCAGTGGCAGGAGTTCCTGAAGGTGGCGCACACCCCTCACTGGGGGAGCCCAGAGTCTCCAAAGACCATGCGCTGGGAAGTTACCAAATCCTCCTTGGTCCCTTCCGAAACGGTAGCTGATTTGGGACCTTGTGGAGAGGTGCCAATCGGTCTTTCGCCAGGCCTCAAAGGAGGAGCTCCCCAAACCTCAGAGGATCTGTACTCTGGCGAAAGGGGAGACAGCGTCAAAGTGGGCAAAGAGATCTCAAGCAAGGGTGCCGCAGTGACAGAGACACAGCGCCAGCGCTTCCGGCTTTTCTGCTACCAGGAGGCTGAGGGGCCCCGAGAGGCCTGCGACCGGCTGCATGTGCTGTGCCGTGAATGGCTGAAGCCAGAGAGGCGCACCAAGGAGCAGATCCTGGAGCAGGTGATCCTGGAGCAGTTGTTGGCGATCTTGCCACCGGCAATGCAGAGCTGGGTCCGAGATGGGAGTCCGGCAACCTGCTCCCAGGCTGTGGTCCTGGCTGAGGATTTCCTGATGAGACAGCAAAAGGCTGAAGGATGGGGAGGACAGGTGAGGCAAAGGCGCTGGGGAACCTCTGGTCCACTGGTCATCCCCATTTGGCCTGCAAGGCCATTTTGGGCGAGCCAAACCCACCCTCTACGTGATGCCATGTATAATGGAGGGGCTTCAAAGGAACAATTGGAAACTTTAAGGCAAACACCCAATTGTTCATTTGCTGGAGCAAGAAGTGCTCCCATGATGGGTGGTGGGACGTGTGTTAGAATGGAGGGGGTTATTCTCATTTCCGTGGAAAATGCTCCTCCGTCCCTGTGCTACTTTTTGAGCTGTTGAAAACAGGAGGTTCAAAAATTCACACAGGGCTGTTTAAAAGCCCTTTTGCAAAGAGCCACACGGGGCTGTTGGGCTTCTGGATTTTTGAGGTTAAGAGAGCGGTGTGGGGCTGTGCACAGTGATGGCAGGGGACTGACCCTTCAGGTTTCGCCTGCCCGGCATGGGCAGTTAAAGATCAGGCCCACCAGGCATGGAAGGCTCCCCACCTCTCTCCTGAAAGGTTTGGCAGGATGCAGAATTAGCAATAGAACATGGATGGAGGAATGAGATCCTTGAACAAATCCTTTGAGCTCCTAGCCTCTTCTCTCTTTCCACTCTGTTCTAGGCTCTAGGAACTTTGGCAGAAGTGGTTGTGAGCCTCTCTGAAGGGGATGAGGCTGCTCCAGAATTCTGCAAGGAGATGAAGAAGGAGAGCAGCCAGAATGCTGGCTTTCTAGGTATGTAATAGCTCCCTCTATTTCCAATGCTGAGGCAGTGAGTGCCGTTCCTTACCTTACGACTGGTTTTCATATACAGTGGTACCTCTGGATACGAACGGGATCCATTTTGGAGTCCCATTCACATCCTGAAGTAAATGTAAGACGTGCGTGCGCGGGTTGTGTTTCGTCGCTTCTGTGCATGCGCGTGATGTCATTTTGAGCGTCTGCGCATGCGCGAGCGGCAAAACCCAGAAGTAACACGCTCCGTTACTTCAGGGTCGCCGCAGAGCGCAACCCAAAAATACTTAACTTGAAGCTACTTCAACCCGAGGTATGACTGTAGTGTATGCAATTGTGCCAGCTGTTTTTAAAAATCTGTATACAGTGGTACCTCAGGTTACATATGCTTCAGGTTACAGACTCCGTTAACCCAGAAATAGTGCTTCAGGTTAAGAACTTTGCTTCAGGATAAGAACAGAAATCGTGCTTCGGCGGCGTGGCAGCAGCAGGAGGCCCCATTAGCTAAAGTGGTTCTTCAGCTTAAGAACAGTTTCAGGTTAAGAACGGACCTCCGGAACGAATTAAGTACTTAACCCGAGGTACCACTGTATATATTTATGCAATGGTTAGAAATTAGTTTGATAGAAGCAACTGAACTTCATCCAAAAAGCAAAAGCTGCCTTAAAATGCTTGCTTCAGTAGGAAGGTTTTGTCAAGTGGCAGAATTAGAGCAGGGAGTGGGAGCTCACAGAGCCCATCCCGTCTAACCCCCTGCCTGTGTAATGCAGGATGCGGCCACAGCATCCCTGACAGATCCTAGCCCAGCCTCTAGACCTCCAGAGAAGGAGGGCCCCACCTGCACACCACCATAGCTTTCTGCTCCACCTCCAAGCAGAAAACATTTAGCCTAAAGCTGCCTCCTTGCAATTTCCACCATTCCTACTAGTCTGCCAATTGGAGCAGCAGAGATCAAGGGAGCAATCCTGTAGCAAGAGCTCTTGAAATGAGCAGCGTTGAGATCCATTAGATATCCGGCTCCATCTGGGGTAGTTTGCCCCCCTTTGTTCCCTACCTGCACTCGGCTCAATCTCACCTGTTGCTCCTAGAAGCTGTCACCATGTGACAGTGGCCACAATCCCAGGAAACGGATTCGACTGGCTGGCTAAACCAGGTGAGGGGAGCCGATGGGTCTCAAACCCTCAGTGAATTAGGGACTTCTCCTGAATACGAAGACAGGCTCCAGTGATTTGAGCAGATGAGACCAAGGATAATAAAAGGCTATGGAGTGAATCCTGCACAAATCCAGAGTGGATTCCCTAAGATGGTTGGGTGGCGCTTTCTATGCCTCCTTCCAGCCACTTCTGCAGCCAAGATGGTGCCAAACCTATTGCTCTGCTATCCTCAGCGAGGCTTGTTCTCTGGGCAGCTCAGGGCCCCCGTACACACTGCCCAGGCTTGCACCCTGAGGGGGTCACTTCAGTGCTGCTAGTGCAAAGTAATAATAATAATAATAATTTATTATTTATACCCCGCCCATCTGGCTCCAAACAGAATATTAATATTAATAATAATGTGATAAAACATCAAACATTAAAAATATGCAACTGCAGATTTCACAACTTTGTCACAAATTTCTCAAACCAGACAACAAATATGTGACTTTCAGTAATAATAATAATAATTTATTATTTATACGTCGCCCATCCGGCTGGGTTTCCTCAGCCACTGGGTGGCTTCCAACAAAATATTAAAATACAATAGTCCATCAAACATTAAAAGCTTCCCTAAACATGGCTGCCTTCAGATGTCTTCTAAAAGTCAGATAGGCATTTCCCTCATATCTGATGGGTGTTACACAGGGCAGGCGCCACTGCCGAGAATGCCCTCTGCCTGGTTCCCTGTAACTTTGCCACTCACAGTGAGGGAACTGCCAGAAGGCCCTCGGCGCTGGACCTCAGTGTCCAGGCTGAACGATGGGGATGGAGACGCTCCTTCAGGTATCCTGGGCCGAGGCCGTTTAGGGCTTTAAAGGTCAGCAGCAACACTTTGAATTGTGGTCGGAAACGTTTTACTTCACCCCCGGAGATGCACTACATTGTTTCGAGACAGACAGGTGATGACGACATTTGGGGCGGAGTTTCCCCCACCCATTTCCCCTGCTTACCCCAATCCCCCTCCGTTCCAGGAACCAATGAACTGACGAGCGAGAACGATGTGGCAAGAGAGGAGCTGGAGGTCAACGTCGGGGTTCTAGGTATAGCAGAGCAGTGTGACGAAAGCTGGCCGGAGAGATCCGTGGCAGCAGCTGCTTGTGAACAGCTCCCTGAACACTCAGTCCAACCTCTGGGGACACAGGAGAGGAGGAGCACATTCTCCAGGAGGAGCGGGACCCGGAGGCAAGGCCTTGAGAACCAGAGAAGACCCACAGAGCCCAAGCTCTACATATGCACGGTCTGCAGACGCAGCTTCACGCGGGGATCGAATCTCTTTCGGCATCAGAAACTCCACACGGGACAGAAGTCCCACTGGTGTGCGGTTTGTGGGCAGGGGTTCACTCGGAAGGAGAAGCTCGTGAGTCACCAGAAAGTTCACAAAAAGAGGGTGACGGCTGGACGAAGAGGCCAAGCAGGGGAAATAGCCGCAAAGTCTTCCAGAATCGCAACAGCAGGTGTGTAAATTTGAAGCAGGTGTGGAGAACTGGATCACAAATGTGAGCCTGGTAGTCCTTAACCCTTTCTGCCCTGCCACTGGTTGGTTTGCACCAGTGTTCAAAATTAGCCAGGCGCCAGGCGTCTTTTGCTTTCAACCACTTGTGACCAAGAGACAGGCTCCAGCGATTTGAGCAGATGAGACCAGAAGTGGGTCCAATGATTAAGAAAGTGGTTTCTTCATGCGCTGTAGAGGGAAATGAGGGCAGCCTGGGAAGGGAACCCGGAAGGAAAACTCTGATCCTCAACCTCTGCTGCCTTGTGGGATATCTTCAGGAGAATAAAAGGCTCTGGAGTAAATCCTACACAAATCCAGAGTGGATTCCCTAAGATGGTGGGGTGGTGCCTTGTACACCTCCTTCCAGCCACTTCTGCAGCCAAGCTGGTGCCAAACCTATTGCTCTGCTATCCTCAGTGAGGCTGAGAGGGGGGTCTGAGCAGCCCAGGACCCCCAGACACACTGCCCTGGCAGGCACCCCGGACAGGTCACTTCAGTGCTACTAGTGCAAAGTAATAATAATAATAATAATTTATTATTTATACACCACCCATCTGGCTGCGTTTCCCCAGCCACTCTGGGGTGCTCCCAACAGAATATGAATATTATTAATAATAATAATGTGATAAAACATCAAACATTAAAAATCCGCAACTGCAGATTTCACAACTTTATCTGTCACAAATTTCTCAAACCAGACAAAAATTTGTGACTTTCAGTAATAATCATAATAATTTATTATTTATACCCCGCCCATCTGGCTGGGTTTCCCCAGCCACTCTGGGCGGCTTCCAACAAAATATTAAAATACAATAGTCCGTCAAACATTAAAAGCTTCCCTAAACATGGCTGCCTTCTAAAATGGATATCTTCTAAAAGTCAGATGATAATACAGTGGTGCCTCGTAAGACAAAAAACTCGCAAGACGAAAGAGTTTTTCGTTTTTTGAGTTGCTTCGCAAGATGAATTTCCCTATGGGCTTGCTTCGCAAGACGAAAACGTCTTGCAAGCTTGTTTCCTTTTTCTTAAAACCGTTAATACCCAGGATGCCTTGCTTAAAAGGTGCAGTTGCGACTTGACTTCAAGGAGCAACTCATAGCACACGGTGTGGTAGCCTTTTTTGAGGTTTTTGAAGACTTTGGTGATTTTTGAAGCTTTTCCAAAACTTCTTTTGCAGCCATTTGGTAAGTTAAACTTTTAAAACTTTTTTGGGGGTTTTTGGATTTTGGGTTGGGGTGTTTGGAATTCAAGGACTTGGTGTTGGGGAGGGGTTTGCAAGAATCTGGAAGCTTGTGTGGTTTTTTCCTGCATTTTTATGAATTTTTGTGACCATTGGGCCACTCTGCTGTTGTTTTAAAAAAAGATTTCTGGGTTTCGATTTCTGTGTGGTGGGTGGCTGGGAGAATAGTTGAGAAGGGGTTTGCAAGAATCTGGAAGTTTGTGTGTTTTCTAGGAGGTTTGGTGCTTTTGAATTTTTTGGATGTGAAGCACTGATTTTTTGGGGGGGGGTTGCGAAGGCAGGAGCTGTGCTGCCATGGGGCCCAAGAAGACTGCTGCTGCAGAGGCCGGCGAGAGGAAGAAGGAGAAGGTTACGGTGGAAATGAAGAAGGAGATCATCCGGAAGCACGACGGTGGAATGCGTGTGACAGACCTTGCCAGGGAGTATGGGAGGAATCCATCGACCATCGGGACCATCCTGAAGATGAGGGAGAAGATCCTTGCGACTGATGTAGCCAAGGGAGTCACCAGGATCGTGAAGAACCGCCCAGCTGTTCTGGAGGAGGTGGAGAAGTTGCTGCTCATCTGGTTAGAAGAGAAGCAGCGTGCAGGGGACACAGTGACTGAGGCCGTCATTTGTGAGAAGGCCAAGGCCTTGCATGCAGACCTCGTCCGGCAACAGCCAGGAACCTCAGGCGAGCCAGAAGTCTTCAAGGCAAGCAGAGGCTGGTTTTACCGGTTAAAGACGAGATCTGGAATCCACAGCGTGGTCAGGCATGGTTTCCTTGGGAAGGACCATGGGCCTGGAGGTCACAGAGGAGGACGTCAGCGAGCTGGTGGAGGAGCACGACCACGAGCTGACCACCCAGGAGCTGGTCGAACTGCAGGCAGAGGCTGCGCAGGAGCAGGCCTCGCTGGAAGAGGAGGAAGCAACTGAGGAACAGCTGTCCTCCAAAGAACTGAGGGACGTTTGCCAGAAGTGGAAAGATGTGCAGGCTTTTGCACAGCGGCACCACCCTGACAAGGACCTGACACGTGACCTTGCGGACACTTTTGATACGAGGGTCATGTCGTCTTTCAGGGAGGTGCTGAAAAGGCGTATGAAGCAGCAGACCATGGACAGGTTCTTCAGCAAGAAGCAAAGAGTGGAAGAGGAACCTTCTTCGAGTTGTCCCCCAGAGTCTTAGAAAATGTATGTACAGTACACTTTGGTGATTTTTAAATGCTTTTCTGTCATGTTTAGAAACTTAAATTATTGTTCCTTCAATTTTTGAAATGCTCTTTACAGTATGTGTGACTTTAAAGAGCACTTAATAAACTCTTTTTGTACCAAATTTGACTTACTTTGGACTTTTTTTGACCATAGGAACGCATTAATTGATTTTCAATGCATTCCTATGGGAATCCGTGCTTCGCAAGACGAAAAAACTCGCAGAACGAATTAATTTTGTCTTGCGAGGCACCATAATAATAATAATAATAATAATAATAATAATAATAATAATTTATACCCCACCCATCTGGCTGAGTTTCCCCAGGTACTCTGGGCGGCTCCCAGTCAAGTTTTAAAAACAATACAGCGTTAAATATTAAAAACTTCACTGAACAGGGCTGCCTTCAGATGTCTTTTGAAGATAGGATAGCTGCTTATTTCCTTCACATCTGAAGGGTTCCACAGGGTGGGCGCCACTACCGAGAAGGCCCTCTGTCTGGTTCCCTGTAACCTCACTTCTCGCAGCGAAGGAACTGCCAGAAGGCCCTCGGCGCTGGATCTCAGTGTCCGGGCTGAACGATGGGGGTGGAGACGCTCCTTCAGGTCTACTGGGCCGAGGCCGTTTAGGGCTTTAAAGGTCAGCACCAACACTTTGAATTGTGCTCGGAAACATTTTACTTCACCCCCGGAGGCGCACTCCATTGTCTCGAGACAGACAGGTGATGACGACATTTGGGGCGGAGTTTCCCCCACCCATTTCCCCTGCTTACCCCAATCCCCCTCCATTCCAGGAAGCAATGAACTGACGAGCGAGAACGATGTGGCAAGAGAGGAGCTGGAGGTCAGCGTCGGGGTTCTAGGTATAGCGGAGCAGCGTGACGAAAGCTGGACGGAGAGATCCGTGGCAGCAGCTGCTTGTGAACAGCTCCCTGAACTCTCAGTCCCACCTCTGGGGACACAGGAGAGCAGGAGCGCATTCTCCAGGAAGAACGTGACCTGGAGGCAAGGCCTTGAAAACCAGAGAAGACCCACGGAGCCCAAGCTCTACATCTGCACGGTCTGCGGACGTAGCTTCACACGGAGATCGAATCTCTTCCGGCATCAGAAACTCCACACGGGACAGAAGTCCCACTGGTGTGCGGTTTGCGGGCAGAGGTTCAAAAAGTGAACTCCTCTTCACATGGAGGAAGCCTAAAAGGCCATTAATTTGGTCTAAGCATGGGGACATAGCTGTCAACTTTTCCACTTTTTTAAGGGAAATTCCCTTATTCCAAATAGGATTCCTCACAAGAAAAGGGAAAAGTTGACAGCTATGCATGGGGATTGTCTGCGTAATTCCTCATCTCAGATCATGAGGCTCTTAATCCCAGGGTCATGGGTTTGAGCCCCGTGTTGGGTTAAAAATTCCTGCATTGCAGGAGGTACTGTTTTTTTCGCCCTATGGAACACACTTTTTCCCCTCCAAAAATGAAGGGGAAATGTGTGTGCATCCTATGGGGCGAATGCAGGCTTTCGCTGAAGCCTGGAGAGCGAGAGGGTTCGGTGCGCACCGACCCCTCTCGCTCTCCAGGCTTCAGGAAGCTATCCGCAAGCCTGGGGAGCCCGCCGGGAGTTGACAGCCGGGCTCCCTAGGCTTGCGGATAGCAGCCTGTTCTGGGGGCTGGGGTCGGGGGAAGCTTGGGCTTTCCCTGCCCCAGCCCCGCGCCTGGCGGGGGGAAATAATTTTTTTTTCTTTATTCCCCCCCCCAAAAAAACTAGGTGCGCCCTATGGGCCGGTGCACCCTATAGGGCAAAAAATATGGTAGTTCTATGATCCTCTGTCTTTCTTTTCTCTTTCTGTTTTTAAATAATATTTATTAAAAATTTCCAGTCAAACCAAATTATATATTCCAAATTATACAAATTATCCCATAATCAAACAAATCCCAATGTTATGCCTAATTATAAATTATTATTTTTTTTAGCTGACTTCCCATGCTTTGAGATCGGAGGGAATCCTAATCATCTCATATTTCTACTGCATTTCAAAATATGACAATAATTCCCTGAAAATAATTAAGGATTAACATCAGATTCTCTGTCTTTCATTCCAGAAGGTCCTGTGTGGACGATTCAGGATGATCTGCTTTGGGTCCCGTCGGAAGGAAACGAAGTTTGTGGAGAGGAGAAGCAAGACGGTGGGAAGAGGAGAGAAGGAAGAACAACAGGGACTCGGAGGGGAAAGCCCGTGGCAGAAGAGCTTTGCTTCAAAGTCGCAATCCCACAAGCAGTGTGCTCCGTCTGCGGGAAAAGCTTCACTCGCAGATCCACCCTTACCAGACACATGAAAGGCCACACAGGAGAGAGGCTTCGCAAGTGTTCGGACTGCGGGAAGAAGTTCAGCCCGGCGGTGTCGGGACATCGGAGGCCCAAGGCAAAGATGGCAGACACAGGGAGGAAAACGTATGAGTGTGCGAAGTGTGAGGGGGGCAGCCGTCCCAAGCTGAGCCTTAATGGCCGCAAGAGCGTCTGCAAGAGGACGAAACGGTTCAGGTGTTTGGAGTGCGGCCACAAATCCATCTCTCCGTCGCACCTTCTTAGACACCAGAGAATCCACACGGGAGAGAAACCGTATCTGTGCCCCATCTGCGGGAGGAAGTTCCGCCAGTCCGCGCATCTCGTCAGGCACGAGAAGACGCATGGAAAGAAGAAGCCACATTTCTGAGGGCAGGGAGGATCTTCAGAACTGTGCGTGTCTAGATGGCAGGAGACACAAGCGAGGTTGGGTGTGCTGTGTGTTGATAAAACACAAGATCTCAAAGCTTGAAGCTAGACTACTTTTGCTCCACGGTAAAGGTCTCCAGCTAAAAATGGGTTTCAGATCCACATGAGGAAGTTCCAGGGGTTTTAGACGACAAGCTGTGCATCCATCAGTTGCTCTGTGCGATGGATAAAATGGAAAACGTGGCTCACATCAGCACATGGAGTGTCGTGGTCTGGATCATAAGTAGTACAGTCGTACCTTGATCATAAGTAGTACAGTCATACCAAACGCCTTGCAAATCGAACGTTTTGGCTCCCAAATGCCGCAAACCTGGAAGCGACTGTTCCGCTTTGCGAAGTGTTTTTGGAAGCTGAATGTCCGGTGGGGCTTCCGTGGCTTCTGATTGGCTGCAGGAGCTTCCTGCAGCCAATCAGAAGCCGTGATTTGGTTCTCGAATGTTTTGGAAGCCAAACGGACTTCCAGCATGGATTCCGTCTGACTTCCAAGGTACGACTGTAATGAGAGTTCTGGACTCATCTGGGCTGTGCCTTTAAAGCATTATCATACTGCTTGGAACACTCATGGTTTCCCTTCCAAAGAATCCTGGGAAATGTAGTTTGTTAAGTGTGCTGAGGGCTGTTAGGAGGCCCCTGTTCCCCTCTCAGAGCTGCAGTTCCAGTTCCCTGTGAAGATGGATGGATTGCTAAACCACACTGAGAACTGTCGCTCCGTGTGGGAGAATATGGGGTCACCTACAATGCTCAGCACCTTTAACAAACTACACTTCCCAGGATTCTCTGGGAAAAGACAACGCTGGCGAGCTAAATGAATCAACAGTCTGGGGCGTTTGAAGACAGCCTTGTATTTTCAAAGCCATGTGGCTCCATGAAGCAGGATTGCCCAAACGCTTGGTTCTTGCTATATTATTGCTAGACTCCAGCTGCCATCAGCCAATGTGACCCAAAGTCAAGGGTGATGAGGGTTGTAGTCTAGCAATATCTGTTCCCCATCCCTGAAGCTGAATGTGCCAGCTAGGACTGATCACCTGTGGTGAGGGAGACCATTTTTCAGGTACTCAGGTAAGAGAGCGATAAACAACAGCAACAGATAGCACACACACTCTCCGCCCCCTGTTTTTCAGGCTATAATTCCAGAGACTATCAGTATTTTGAAAGCAAGCAAACAAAGTATTTTCAGCCCAGTTCAAAGCTGCATTGTTGTTGTTTAGTCGTGTCCGACTCTTCGTGACCCCATGGACCAGAGCACGCCAGGCACTCCTGTCTTCCACTGCCTCCCACAGTTTGGTCAAACTCATGCTGGTAGCTTTGAGAACACTGTCCCACCATCTCGTCCTCTGTCGTCCCCTTCTCCTTGTGCCCTCCATCTTTCCCAACATCGGGGTATTTTCCAGGGAGTCTTCTCTTCTCATGAGGTGGACAAAGTATTGGAGCCTCAGCTTCAGGATCTGTCCTTCCAGTGAGAACTCAGGGCTTATTTCCTTAAGAATGGGGAGGTTTGATCTTCTTGCAGTCCATGGGACTCTCAGGAGTCTCCTCCAGCACCAGAATTCAAAAGCATCCATTCTTTGGCAATCAGCCTTCTTTATGGTCCAGCTCTCACTTCCATACATCACTACTGGGAAAACCATGGCTTTAACTATACGGACCTTTGTTGGCAAGGTGAAAGCCACATTAAGCATCTCTAATCAGTTTCAGTTAGGATACGATAATGAAAAGCTTTGAGCTGGAATGGGGATCGTTTCGCCTGCCCTTGATTCTTTGCAATCGTGAATTTGGAGTATTCCCTCACGAGAGGCACCAGTTTAGTAATTTCTCTCTCTTCTTACTGAGTCGGAAATTGAAGGGATATAAACCTGGTATTTCAATGAGAAATGGGAAGCCAGTGTGTACAGGATCGGGCTGTGTTTGTTGACTAGTAACATGTATGGCCATATTTACAGGGTTTGTGTGTAAGCTGAAATGTCAGCATGGAAAATGTTACACAAGGATGTCAACCCCCTCCCCCCCCTTTTAGAGCAGGGATAGAGGAAACTTTTTTTGGGGGGGGTCTTCTGGAAGTTTCTGGACTCCAATTCCCATCATCCCCTGTGACTATTGGGCATGCTGGCCCTCGGGTGCTGATTTGAATTGGAGTCCAATAGCATCTGGAAAGTGCTGTGTTTTGTGTGTAACAGCTTGTTACAGAGTGAAGAGTAGCTGTTCAAGATTCAAGGCCCTCCAACCAATTATCTCTCCCCCTCCCCTCCCCATTCCCCAAAAGTCCTCATTGGGCTCTGCAATTTTTCTCCAAACTTTTTCCTGTATTTTTGAATTTCCTTCCAGGCCTGCTGATACTTCTTTCATCTTGAGGGTCTGCCGTTCCATTTGGGCTATGAAAGCATTGGCACGTACACACTTGAATGTCAGAACTAGAGGGCATTTTAATTAAATATATTTTTTATTAAAAAATAAGATAAAAGCAAACCCGCAATGGTTGTCACAAATCCCACAAATGGAGAATGTAACCTTCTTAGGGACTGCCTCAGTGACCAGCAATTTTCTGCAACATATAGTGATAGATTTAAATAAATTGCTCTTTTGTAAGGAAAATTGTTTGTTTTTGTAGCAGGCATTATTGCATATCTATTACTTCATCAAATTTCAATAACAACCTTCATCTCAGGATCACAGGGTGTTTTACATATAAGAACACAAAAGTACAAAACATAGTAACAAACAAACAAACCAGTAATCCCCACCATCATGGTATAAAAAGCCTGGGAGAAGAGGAATCTTTTTGCCTGGCGCCTAAAGATAGCTAACAAAAATGCCAGGAGAGCCTCCCTAGGGAGAGCAGTCCACAAATGGGGAGCCACTGCAGAAAAGGACCTGTTTTTGTCTCACCGCCCTCCAGGGCTCTCGTGGAGGCATGTGAAGACAGATAAAGCATTTTTGTTCAAAACATTTTCAGAGAATCACAGAATGGTAGATTTGGAAAGGACTCTGCTATGAGTCTTGGAAGACCTGCTCCCTGCCTTGCAAGACTTCTCCCACCTGGCCTAGGAGGGCAGGGCCCTGACGGACTCCGGCTACAAAAGCTGAGGGTGAAGAGGCCAGAGACCATCTTGGCTGTCTCTTTGTGCAGACCCAGGTCATGGAGCCTGAGCTTCCACAGCCGCCGCCTGCCATGAACCACCATCGGCAAGATTGGCAGCTAGGTGGATGGGAGGGCATCCCACAGGGCGGGTGCCACTACCAAGAAGGCCTTCCAGCTGGTTTCCTACAACTTCCCTCCTGGTGTTGAGGGAACCACCAGAAAGCCCTTGGAGCCAGTGTCCAGGCTGAACGATGGCGATGGAGACGCTCCTTCGGGTATACTGGGCAAATGCCGTGTAGCTCATTTGCTGAGCCCATGGGCCGAGGGCCTTCTGGCGGGTCCCTCCCTGCGAGAAATGACGTTATAGGGAACCAGGCAGAGGGCCTTCTCGGTAGTGGTGCCCACCCTGTGGAACTCCCTCCCATCAGATGTCAAGGAAATAACTACCTGGCTTTTAGAAGACATCTGAAGGCAGCCCTGTTTAGGGAAGTTTTTAATGTTTGATGTTTTACCGTGTTTTTAATATTATGTTGGGAGCTGCTCAGAGTTGTTAATAATAATAATACTTTATTATTTATACCCCGCCCATCTGGCTGGGTTTCCCCAGCCACTCTGGGCGGCTTCCAACAGAACACTAAAATACAATAACCTATTAAACATTAAAAGCTTCCCTAAACAAGGCAGCCTTCAGATGTCTTCTAAAAGTCCGGTAGTTATTTTTCTCTTTGACATCTGGTGGGAGGGTGTTCCACAGGGCGGGTGCCACTACCGAGAAGGCCCTCTGCCTGGTTCCCTGTGGTTGGGGAAGCCTTGCCACATGGGCGGGGTATAAGTAATAAATTATTTTTATTATTCTATTTTATTATTATTATGTCATCACTTAAGAACATAAGAGAAGTCTTCTGGATCAGACGGAAGGCTCATTTGGCCTGGCATCCTGTTCTCACAGGGGGCCAACCTGTGGAAAACCAGCAAACAGGATTCAAACACAATAGCCCTTTCACCTCCTTTGGTTTCCAGCAACTGGTATTTATAAGCATTGCTGCCTCCAGCCTTGAAGGCAGAGCAGAGCTGTCCTGGTTAGTAGCCACTGAAGCCCTTCCCTCCATGAACTTGCCCGGTCCTCTCTTGAAGCTGTCCAGGTCGGCAGCTTCAAACCAGCCAAGCTGAGAAAACCTGGATCAGGGTAGGGGGGTCCCCTAACAGCTGCAATTTGAAGACAGCCTTCCAGCTCCCCCCTTTTTAAATTTAATTTATTTAACATCATTCTTACAAAATATAGGCAAAATATTGGAAATACATACATACAGTGGTGCCCCGCAAGACGAATGCCTCGCAAGACGAAAGGGTTTTCCGTTTTTTGAGTCGTTCCGCAAGACGAATTTCCCTATGGGCTTGCTTCGCAAGACGAAACATCTTGCGAGTTTGTTTCCTTTTTCTTAAAGCCGCTAATAGCCGTGCTTCGCAAGACGAAAAAACCGCAAGACGAAGAGACTCGCGGAACGGATTAATTTCGTCTTGCGAGGCACCACTGTATATATTTCAAATAAGCACATGTATATGAAAATGGAACAAAAGAGGAAAAAGAAGAAAAGAAGGGGGGGGGGAGAAAAAATAAAGAGAAAAGAAGAAGAAAAGTTGGAAGAGAAAAAAAAAATATCCCGCCTTTCCTCCAAGGAGTTTAAGGTGGTGCCCATGGCTCTTCCCTCTCCATTTTCTCTTCACAACAACCTTGCGAGGTAGCTTAGTTTGAGAGATTGCGACTGCTTCCCCACACTCCTAGGGAGCATATATCTTTATTTGCCTTTTGCTGGGCCATACAGTGCAGCCACAAGAGGCAGCGAGCGGCGCAAACATTGTGCTGCTGTCCGCTGCCTGCATGATTTATGTGTCTGTTGCATCCATATCCTGCCCTTTTCTCTGAGGTGCTCAGAGTGGTACCCACGGCCCTCAACTAACAGCAACCCTGCAAGGAGGCCAGGCTGAAAGGCAGCGACTGGACCAAGGTCACCCACCCAGTTTTGACATGGGGCAGTATAGAAATATTTATAGGGTATGAACAGACTTGGAAGAGAAACCCCTTAAGTTTCAGAAGTCTTATTGGAAAACTGCTACAATGATTTACATGGAAACTCAGCTAGGGGGTTTTGAGGAAGTCACTCACTAGTGGTACAAAAGTGGGATTATAATAGTTAGGACAATTGTTTGTATGTTGGTTTGTTTTTTATATTGTAATATTTTTCTTTTATGTTTGTTATAAATTTGGAAAACCAATAAAAATTTAATTTGTTCCGGAGGTCTGTTCTTAACCTGAAGCTGTTCTTAACCTGAAGCACCACTTTAGCTAATGGGGCCTCCTGCTGCTGCCACGCCACCGGAGCACGATTTCTGTTCTCATCCTGAAGCAAAGTTCTTAACCTGAAGCACTATTTCTGGGTTAGCGGAGTCTGTAACCTGAAGCGTATGTAACCCGAGGTACCACTGTACAACAAATTGAAAAAGATGTTTAAAATAACGTTTGTAAAACAACAACCTAGAAGCCTTTCTCTTCGAATTATAGGGATTGTTGTTGTTGTTTAGTCGTTTAGTCGTGTCCGACTCTTCGTGACCCCCTGGACCAGTTAGCATGCCAGGCACTTCTGTCTTCCACTGCCCCCCGCAGTTTGGTCAAGCTCATGCTGGTAGCTTCGAGAACACTGTCCAACCATCTCGTCCTCTGTCGTCCCCTTCTCCTTGTGCCCTCCATCCTTCCCAACATCAGGGTCTTTTCAAGGGAGTCTTTTCTTCTCATGAGGTGGCCAAAGTATTGGAGCCTCAGCTTCAGGATCTGTCCTTCCAGTGAGCACTCAGGGCTGATTTCCTTCAGAATGGATCGGTTTGATCTTCTTGCAGTCCATGGGACTCTCAAGAGTCTCCTCCAGCACCAGAATTCAAAAGCATCAATTCTTCGGCGATCAGCCTTCTTTATGGTCCAGCTCTCACTTCCATACATCACTTCTGGGAAAACCATAGCTTTAACTATACAGACCTTAGGGACAGAACTACCTGAATTTTATAGAAATTTATTCATGTATGTATGTGACTACAGTGGCAAGAATGTTACTTTGCCCCAAAATGGAAAGAAGCAGAAGTCCCAGCAAAGGAAGAGTGGATACAAAAACTTATGGAATATGCAGGAATGGCAAAAGTTACCGGAAGAATAAGAAATCAAGATAACATACTTTTTATAAAAGAATGGAAATGGTTTATTGAATATTTACAGATAAATTGTAATCGGATAAAAACTCTGGCAGGATTATTGTAACAAGCTGTGGCTACATAAGAGTATATATTTAAAAAAGATAAATAAATGAGTAATTTTAGTTAATTTGGATATGCAAAGGATATTAAAAATAAATTTAAGGCACCTCAGAAAGGGGGGAAGGAAATAAAGCTTTAAAATGTCAAAATGATTGTAAAATCAGTGAAATATATATATCTGAAAAGCATACATAAAATTTAAAATAAATGTTTCAGAAGTCCTGGGAATGCCCACCCTCCGCTTGAAACTCGGGACAGCCGCTGCCAGCCCGTGTCGGCACTACGGAGCTTAGCCAGACCCGGCTTTGCAAAACGCAAAGCCCGGGTGTACTTGTTCCTGGGAGTTAGGAAACTGGCCGCTTAAGGGGTTAAGCCGAGCGAGCCGCGATGCCTGGAAAGGCCTGGGAATGAATGGGTGAAGGTCTGGAGGAGGAAGAGGAGGGGGAAAGGGGGAGAGGAGGGGTTCCTTTTGAATTCCTTAACTTGATTTTTTGCAGACTCAGCTTCTGCTGGTGGAGGCAGCACGTGGAAGTTGCAGTAAGTTCCTTTAAAATAAAAATTGCCCAAGTAATGGGCAGCAGGGTAATATGGAAAATGGGAGGGGGGAATTACTGGGGGGGGGTGTCAAAAAGAGGGAAATGGGGTGTCGAGCCCCTCCCCCTTTGTGCCCCACTTCTGAGCATCCTTGAGGGGAAGGGAGTGGTTAGGGAGTGATGCCCGGCTGCAAGGATGCTGGCTTTGGGCGGGCCTGATCCAAGAAGCTCACTCCTAAAGGAGGGAGAATCTGGAATAATAATAATAATAATAATAATAATAATAATAATAATAATAATAATAATAAAATAATTTTTATTTATACCCCGCCCTCCCCAACCAAGACTGGTCTCAGGGCAGCTAACACCAGGTATAAAAACAATTGATTGAAATACAACTTAAAAACAAGATTAAAATACAACATTAAAATGCAGCCTCATTTCAGGCATCAGTGGCTTCTAGGCATGCTAAGTGAAAATAGAGACTCCCCTTCCCAAGGCAGTCTACCATCCCCTCCTTTTTAATTTTAAAATAATTTTTTTAAAAATTACTTGAAGGAAATCAAACGAATCGATACAACAAAAATAATCAAGGCACACATTCGAAAGAAAGAGTGCCGTGTGGTGTATGCCGGAGAGGCTTAAATCAGGGAAGACGATTAAGAAAGGGGAATTTTTGCATTGCATTCCCCCCTTTTTATAGTTAGTGTGAAATCAAAAGTACAGGCAAACAAACAAGTAAACAAAAACAGGAAAAGCATAATGAGAGTTGCAAAACATAGGGGCAGAGGCAGTGAACCTTTGATTTCCAGGGGCCCAGGACCAAATAATAGGTTCACGCTCTCTCTGTTATATTAATAATATACTCTTTTAAAACTGACTATATTTGTGTTTCGCTTTTATGGTTTATTTTATTTTGTATCCCACCTTTTTTCTCCAAGGAGCTCAACATGGTTCTCCTCATCCTTATTTAATTCCCAGAACAACCTGTGAGGTAGGTTAGGGGTCAAAGGAATTTGCACAATTTTTGGATGTTTTTAATAGTTTTTCAAATGATGTTCTTTTATTTTTAACAATCTTGTTATATCACTTATTGTGTACGCTGCCCTGAGCTCCTTTGGGGAGGAAGGTTGGAATATACATTGAAGGAATGAATGAATAAGATGGTCAAATGGAGCAGGATGACAAACTGTGAGTACAGAAGATGCGTCCACACAGGGATCCCTCTTCCCAGGGATCTCTGGGGATTGTAACTACATTGGTACCTTGGGGTTAAGTACTTAATTCATCCTGGAGGTCCATTCTCAACCTGTTCTTAACCTGAAGCACCACTTTAGCTAATGGGGCCTCCTGCTGCTACCACAAGATTTCTGTTCTCATCCTGAAGCAAAGTTCTTAACCCGAGGTACTATTTCTGGGTTAGCGGAGTCTGTAACCTGAAGCGTATGTAACCTGAAGCGTATGTAACCCGAGGTACCACTGTATTTTCTTCTGTGGTTAATTCACAAGCTGCTGAATTCTGAAATGTAGGAAAAAATCACCCTTGGGGCTTCTTTGAATGTATCCTCAAAGATCACCTGCCTCTTGTGTTCCTTTCTCTCCTTCCTTCCTTCCTTCCTTCCTTCCTTCCTTCCTTCCTTCCAGGAGAAGCCCTTTCATCACTGAAGAGATTCCTGCTCCATTTCTGAATCTCCTGAGGTTTACTCCGTCGACTGAAGATCCCGCTCCTAACTCCGATCAGTGGAAGGGTGGCAGAGATTTTTCCCAACTCCGGAAAGAAGAGCAATTGTACACAACTGGGTTGCTGCCGTCGGTCTCCCCCGACATGGCTGGTACCCAGGATGCTGAGGCAACCGAGGGTCTCCATCTTGAGACCGCGGCCGATAACCCTGTGTGTCCTGTAATCAAAATGGAGGAACAGGAGCTCACAGTCCTTGGGAGCGAGGGGATGGAAAGACCCGGAAAGGGGCTCTCCGTTGTTCACAGTTGGGGCTCCTGGTTTGGGGCGATGCTGTCCTGGTTCGGAGCTTTTCCAAGGCAAGAGAGGCTGGAGGGTGTAAAGGAGGAGCCGGACGAGGCAGCCTGGGAAGGCCAGTGGCAGGCGTTCTTGAAGGCCGTGCCGATGCCTCAGGCCGCCTGGGCATGGTCGGCGGTGATGGAGGATAACCAAGAGGGCAGGACCAACCCTGAGGGGGCAGCGGAGGTCTGTGAGCAGCCAAGAGGGCAGGCAGGAACCAGCCTGCCCCCTGGGTCTAGAGGGCTCCAAGCCCTGGGACCCCCTGGGACCAGAACCTGCGGAGGGGCAAAGCGGGAGAATCCCAGCGAGGATGCTTCCGGGTCGGAGGCACAATGGCGGCACTTCCGGCAGTTCCCCTACTTGGAAGCCAAGGGGCCCCGGGAGGTTTGCAGCCAGCTGTGGTTCCTTTGCCACCGGTGGCTGAAGCCAGAGAGGCACACCAAGGAGCAGATCCTGGAGCTGGTGACTCTGGAGCAGTTCGTGGCTGTCCTGCCCTCGGAGATCCAGCACTGGGTCAGGGGCCGAGGGGCCGAGACCTGCACCCAGGCGGTGGCCCTGGCCGAGGATTTCCTGCGGAGGCAGCAAGAGGCTGGGGAAGCCACGTCGGAGGTTGGGAAGTGTCTTCTTTCCTTGTCACCCATATTATCAGCTGGATACGTGCTGTTAAAGACGCAGAGTGTGAGCTCCTGTTTGGCTTCCCTGCGTCTGGGCAGGATCTCACCCCTGTTAGTTGCTGTGCTGCAGCAGCCTTGCATAGTGTGCACTGCCGTCCTTCCGGATATTATTATTATTATTATTATTATTATTATTATTATTATTATATTTTTGTACCCCACCCATCTACCTGGGTTGCCCCAGCCACTCTGGTTAGCTTCCAACATATATAAAAACATAATAAAACATTACACATTTAAAGGCTTCCCTATACAGTCGTACCTTGGTTGACGAACGGTTTAGTTGCCGTACGATTTGACTCCCAAACGATCGAAACCCGGAAGTGAATGTTCGGGTTTTCAAACTATTTTTGGAAGCTGAATGTCTGGCGCGTTTTCCATGTCTTCTGATTGGCTGCAGGAAGCTCCTGCAGCCAATCGGAAGCTGCACCTTGGTTTTCAAACGGTTCCGGGAGTCAAACGGACTGCCGGAACGCATTCTGTTTGTCAACCAAGGTACAACTGTACCAGGCTGCCTTCAGATGTCTTATAAAGGTTACTCATCTCCTAGACATCTGAACAGTGGCGTAGCGTGGGTTGTCAGCACCCGGGGCAAGGCAAGTAATTTGCGCCCCCTAACCCTTGGATTTGCACCCCCTAACCCTAACCCCCAGATGTTGCGCCCAGTGCGGACGGCCCCCCCTGCACCCCCCACGCTACGCCACTGCATCTGAAGGGAGGGTTTTCCACAGGGTGGGTGCCACTACCAAGAAGGCCCTCTGCCTAGTTCCCTGTACCTTCCATTTCACAGTGAGGGAACTGCTAGAAGGCCCTCGGAGCTGGATCTCCTTACTTCCTCCTGTGCTGAATGGGACTTTTGTTGTTGTTCCAGGTGCCGGGATCTCTTGCAGAGGCCGCTGGAAGTTTCTCTGAAGTGGACCAGGCTTCGCCAGATGTTGGGGAGAGGAGCGCTGGTGGAGATATCAAACGGGAGAGCGATGGGGATGCCTCTGTGTTGGGTGCCAAAGGTTTCCTTTTGCCGATCCCAGAGACGGGAACCTGTGGCCCTCCAGGTGTTCTAGGAATGATGGAAGCTTCAGTTTTTAGCAGCTGGAGAGCCACAGTTTATCTACCCTCATTACGAAGGGTTACACTGAATTCACCAGACTTAGAAGCACCTCATAGGACATGTCAATAAACTTTTGGCCAATCGAAAGACAGTAGTGTATGCTTCTAGGGGTGAAGCCACTACATTTCTGAGCACAATTCAAAGTGTTGATGCTGACCTTTAAAGCCCTAAACGGCCTTGGCCCAGTATACCTGAAGGAGCGTCTCCACTCCCATCATTCAGCCCGGACTCTGAGGTCCAATGCCGAGGGCCTTCTGGTGGTTCCCTCACTGCGAGAAGTGAGGCTACAGGGAACCAGGCAGAGGGCCTTCTCAACAGTGGCACCTGCCCTGTGGAACGCCCTCCCACAAGATGTCAAAGAGAAAAATAGAACTAGAACTACTAGAAAAGTAGAAGACGTCTGAAGGCAGCCCTGTTTAGGGAAGCTTTTAATGTTTGACGGACTACTGTATTTTAATATTTTGTTGGAAGCCGCCCACAGTGGCTAGGGAAACCCAGCCAGACGAGCAGGGTATAAATAATAAATTATGATGATGATGATGATGTTTTGTTTGCAGTACTGAAATGACCTCCTTTGGGCTCAGACCTAGCCCAAAGGTTCTGGGCAGCCCAGAAGACAAGACCCGCCCCCCTCTTGGCCTCGCTAATGTGCTCCAAAGGAAAACAGACCAAGATATTTGGTGCTAGCTTGGCTGCAGGAGTTGCCAGAAGGAGGCGTACATTATGCCATCCAACTGTCTTAGGGACTCTGATCCGGATTTGTGTAGGGTTTACTCTTTTCTTCTCCTGAAGATATCCCACAAGGCAGCAGAGGTTTAGGATCAGAGTTTCCCTTTTCCGAGATGAGGGGCATCCCATGTGTAATTTTAGACACCTCTACCATGTCCTCCCAGTGTGGTGTAGTGGTTAAGAGCGGTGGACTCGTAATCTGGGGAACTGGGTTCGCGTCTCCGCTCCTCCACATGCAGCTGCTGGGTGACCTTGGGCCAGTCACACTTCCTTGAAGTCTCCCAGCCCCACTCTCCTCACAGAGTGTTTGTTGTGGGGGAGGAAGGGAAAGGAGATTGTTAGCCGCTTTGAGACTCCTTAGGGTAGTGATAAAGGGGGATATCAAATCCAAACTCCTCCTCCACCTCCCCTTCTTCTTCTTCTTCTTCTTCTTCTTCTTCTTCTTCTTCTTCTTCCCTCTTACTTGCCTTTTCTCCAAAGTAGAAAAAAATCTGTAACATTTCCTCATGGGACACTTGCTCTATCCCCTTGATCATTTTGGTTCACTGTTTTTCGTTTATTGTTCTTTGTCTGTGATGCTCTAATCAGGATTGTTCATCTTTTCTTCTGTTAGATGATGGCTGGGAGAGAGAAAATGGCGGGGAGCCATGTGTGGTGTTGCTGGAAAGAATCAGGGATATGGAAGAAAATGGCGGGGGCAAAGAAGGACCGAGGAAGAAACATGGAAACGGCACTGAGAAGTGGAAGGAGAGGTCTGCTGTATGTCCCAGGGGGGAAGGTCCTGAATTTACAGCCAAGCAGAGGCTACATGAAGGAAAGGGTGCATATCCATGCAGTGTGTGTGTCAAAAGTTTTCCTTGCAAATCTAGCCTTACTCGACATCAGATAACCCACACAGGGGAGAACCCACATAAATGCTCGCACTGTGGGGAGAAATTCACTCGGAGAGCGAGCCTCATTGTTCATCAGAGAATCCACACAGGGGAGAAGCCTTACAAATGTTTCACATGCGGGAAGAGCTTCAGCGTGAACTCCACCCTAATCAGGCACCAGAGGATCCACACGGGGGAGAAACCGTATCAGTGCTTGGGCTGCGGCAAGAGCTTCCGCGATAAGTCGAGCCACATCCGGCACCAGAGGATCCACACCGGAGAGAAACCGTACAGATGCTTGGACTGTGGCGTCAGCTTTCGCGATAAGTCTAGCCGTATTCGGCATCAGAGGATCCACACGGGGGAGAAGCCCTACAAATGTCTAGACTGCGGGGAAAGCTTTAGTCAGAGCTCGAGTCTTATTAGACATCGGAAAATACACACAGGAGAGATACCGTACTCGTGCTCAGACCATAGGGGGAGCTTCCATGATAAATCAAATATTAAAGAGCCCCACAATGGTCACTTACTAGAGAAACTAGACAAATATGCGGACTGTGGTGAAAGCTTCAGTCAGGACACATTCAACTCGAGCTACAGAGCAGCCACTCTGGAGCCAAATAGTAGCCATTCTCCTTGCTAGCTTTGCAGAAGAACACAGAAGAGAGCCATAGTGACTTCATTTGACACAAGTCTAAACTATAGTGTCATGTGAATGAATCTTTCATCCCCCTAGGCTCATGGATTAACCCCCTTCACTCTCCTCCTCTGGTTTGCTTCCATTTCCATTTCAACCTAACCACAGTTTAGTGTGTCACCTGAGCCCTAAACTGTGGTTAAATCTTAACTCGGGAAACAAGCCAGCTTCTGATCAGAAACTTCCATTTATATTTCAGATTAACTGCCGCTTAAGTGTGTCATCGGAACCCTAAAAATGTGGTTCGATAGGGAAAGCAAGTCAGATTCTTAAACTGTGTCTCAGAGCTGACCTGTTCCCACGAACCAGAGTTCAGTTGCAGCACGACCTGTCTTGCGTTTGGACAAACTATGGCTAATGAAAACTGGAAGCAAAGCTTCCAAGCTCTTCCTCGATGGAGGGTGGGCAGGGAGCTGCTGTTCCCATCATGCTAAACTATCGTTAGCAGCGTGCCTGAACCAGCCGCTGTAGGTGCGGAAGCTACAAGCACAGTTTGCTCAAGCTACAGACTGGGTTGTGCATGTATACAGGCCACAATTCCATACAAGCAAGGGAACATGGGATCGTACATCAGCTGCAAAACTGAGCATCTTTCTTTTTTTAAAGAATAAATTAATAAAATTGAAAGTATTATAAAACCGTCCAGCTAGCCTCTTATGGTAGGCCACAGGTACAGTGGTACCTCGGGTTAAGAACTTAATTCGTTCTGGAGGTCTGTTCTTAACCTGAAACTGTTCTTAACCTGAAGCACCACTTTAGCTAATGGGGCCTCCTGCTGCCGCTGCAGGATTTCTGTTCTCACCCTGAAGCAAAGTTCTTAACCCGAGGTAATATTTCTGGGTTAGCAGAGTCTGTAACCTGAAGCGTATGTAACCCGAGGTACCACTGTACTCCTTTTTTATACTTCGATGGGAGGAAAGCCACTGTGGATTTCAAAAACCTGCCTTTGCCTACAATCACAGTAGATCACTTCTCAGTTATGGCATAAAATCCACAAAGCGTTTGTTTGCAAAAAAGAAGAGGCTAAAAGCCTTGATAGAACACCAACCTCAGTAAGCTTTGAAAGGAAATTAGCCAGATTCATGGATGATGAGGTCCTGGCCCTGGTCTTTGCTACATTCATCACATGTAAAGCACTCTACCTTTGAACAGTCTCAAAAACCTGAAGTTGGTTCTGGAGATGGCCACAAAGATGTGTGTTCAAGAAGGTAGATGTGGAAAATTATTTACTGAAGTTCCAAAAATAGAAAAAGAGATCTGTAGGGTGAAAAGGTTAAAGCAGCAAGGGCAGCGCACACGAAACGCTGTTGGACAAGTGGGCAGGGGGAAATGGAAACCAGGATGCAGTGAGGGACGGAATGGAGTCTCCTGGGAAATGGGGTGGCTGGCTAGCTGCACCGCAATTTTTTTTAATTATAGGTGCCAATGTGTAGGTGCTCTTCAACATGTGGTGTACTTGGTACAATTCCAAAAGGGCTGGTGATTTAATAATCTGTGAACCAAATCAATTTGACCAGCACCAATTTGTGAATCACTTCCAGCTCTACAGTTCTATGGTTTTATGATTCTCTATGCATCTCAAGGCAATCTGTGGGGTAGTGGTTGAGAGCATTGGGCTGGGACCCGGGAGACCAGGGTTCAAATCCACAAAGCTCACAATGGCGACCTTGGGCCTGTCGCTGCCTCTCAGCCTAGCCTCCCTCACAGGGTTGTTCTGAGGATAAAATGAGGAAGAGGAAAACTAGGCATGCAGGATTGACTCCCTTGGAAGTGATGTGGAATATAAATGCAGCGGATAAATTTAAAAATCCAACATGCCAATGTTATTTTTATTGAATTTATGCCCCTGCTTCCAGAGGAACCCGGGGCAGCACAGCTACCAGTAAGTAAAGTGTTTATCTATAAAGACCTAAAGCAGATTTACCTGCTCCATGCTGTCCTCACATGATTTTGTCTACTTCAAAATGGATGGCACATGGGTGCTTGCATATACCGGGGTGTGTGTGTGTGTGTGTGTGTGTATACACACACACATACAGTGGTGCCTCGCAAGACGAAATTAATTCGTTCCGCGAGTTTTGTCGTCTTGTGATTTTTTCCGTCTTGCGAAGCACGGTGTCGGGAAAGCTTTGGAAAAGCTTCAAAAATCACCAAAGTCTTTAAAAACCTCAAAAAAGGCTACCACACCACGTTCTATGAGTTGCTCCTCGAAGTCAAGTCGCAACTGTATTAACGGTGTTAAGAAAAAGGAAACAAACTTGCAAGACGTTTCCGTCTTGCGAAGCAAGCCCATAGGGAAAATCGTCTTGCGAAGCAGCTCAAGAAACAAAACCCTTTCGTCTAGCGGGTTTTTTGTCTTGCGAGGCATTCGTCTTGCGAGGTACCACTGTATATATCTCAGCAGAGTGCAGAAGGCAATAGCCTGGCAAGACTGCTGCTTGAAAGAATAAAGGAACTTAGCATACAAAACCATTCTGAGAACAGGAATACATTTGGCCATGACAAAGAGTAATGTGTTACAGATAGGTAGCCGTGTTGGTCTGCCATAGTCAAAACAAAAAAAATTCCTTCCAGTAGCACCTTAAAGACCAACTAAGTTAGTTCTTGGTATGAGCTTTCGTGATCTTTAAGGTGCTACTGGAAGGAATTTTTTTGTTTTGACTATGGCAGACCAACACGGCTACCTATCTGTAACTGGAACTATGGAAGGCACCACATTGAGCCGCATGAAATGGAAGTCCATCAACCTCACCAAGAAACTTAGAAGAAGTGTGCATGCACACGAAAGCTCATACCAAGAACTAACTTAGTTGGTCTTTAAGGTGCTACTGGAAGGAATTTTTTTTGTAAAGAGTAATGTGGTTTAACAGCATGAATACAAAACAAGAAGTAGGAAGGAAGGAACACCTGAGGGGAGAAAAATATGATTTATGAATTCTCAGAAAGGACTCGGGAAAGAAGAAAAGTTTGCTCTTCTGCTTATCACTCTCTCCCCCACCCCCAAGTGGGCATTGTTGCTTTACTAATAACAATAATGATTTTATTATTTGTACCCGGCTTATCTGGCTGGGTTGCCCCAGCCACTATGGCCAGCTTCCAACATCCATAAAAGCATGATGAAACATTACACATTAAAAGTCTTCCCGATAAGATGTCTTCTATAGGTTATGTAGTTACTCATCTTGACATCTGATGGGAGGGCGTTGCACAGGGTGGGTGCCGCTACCGAGAAGGCCCTTTGCCTGTCAACCCTTACTCTGTATGGGCTTCCAGGCACATAATGTTTGTTGCAGCCCTTAACAATAACCCTGAAAGGTAGGATAGCGTGGCTATCCCCGTGTTAAGAGATGCGAGGCCTGAGGCTTGAAGGAGAGTGACTTGCCTAAGGCTGCCTGGCGAGTTCATGGCAAGATTTGAACACAGAACTTTCATGTTTGCAGTTCATCCTGCTTTGCCATTAATGCTACAACAACAGCTTTTCTTATACGCATCGTGGCCACTGCCAAGCCTCTGATCGTGTCCTCCTTTGCTTGCCTTTTCTCTAAACTAAAAAGCCCCAAACGTTGCAGCCTTTTCCTCACATGGGAGCTGCCTGTTTTTTCTCAACTGTGCAATATCCTTTTTGAGTTGAGGCAACCAGAACAGTACACGGTATTCCAAGAAACAAATAAAAATATGCTCCCAGAAGCACACTGGGTTGGCATTCAACAAAAAGTCCAGTGCAGGGCAGACCCATTGAAATCAACGGACCTAAGTTAGTGGTGTGCCCATGCACTTCAATGGGTCTACTCTGAGTAAGGCAAGCGTTGAAGAGCTCCTGCCATTTCTCGGGAAGGGAAGCTACAACTGTGTGTGCGTGTGTGTGTGTATTCTCCCACCCCATCCCATCACTGCCTGGAAGTTTCTTCTTAGAAGAGGACTACATTTCCCAGGAGCCTTTGCGAGACTAAAAAAAGAAGAAGGTGATAACGGATCTAACCACCACCTGCGCATGCAAATTTACCGGTATGTAGAAAATAGGAATCGGGGGCGGGCGGAGAAAAAGAAAAGCCCTTTTTGCACAGGTGAATCTGAACGTCAGAAAGGTAAAACAAACAAAACAGAGCACAAGTAATCATAGAGATGAGGGGGTGTTTGGGTTTTTGTTTTTTTTAAATGCCTATGCAAATAATGTAGGCAAACCCCTTCCTGCTCTGATCCCGCCCACGGAAACAGCTTTCAATATATACAGTATAAATATATATGTATGCATGCATCCTCTCTCCTGGACAAAAAGTGGTCGTTTTGCAGCTGCAGAGTCCTCCAGGACAGTGTCAGGTAAATGTCAGGTTGCTGGGGGGGGGGGGAGATCAGGTTTTTTTTTGGGGGGGAAGACCCCATAGCTTTCAATTCCCTTGTATGCTTGCATGGGATGGGAGTAAGCCCAGTGACTGCAATCACAGCGTATTTTCCCCAGTAAATGCGTGTATGAGTGTCGGCAATGGGGCATCATAAGAGCCTGGGTTGTTGTCGTTTTACTGATTTGGAAAAAGTGCAGAGAGAGAAATGTTTACCAGGTTTCATGTTTGACTTACTATATTGTTGTTGTTGATTAGTTATCTTTCCCCAAGGAGCTGAAGGTGACACACCTAATTTTATCCTCCTCCCCATTTTATCCTCACAACAACCCCGTGACTGGCCCAAGGTCACCATAGTGAGCTTCATGGCAGAGTGGGGATTTGAACCCGGGTTAATGAGGTCCTAGTCCAGACATTTAACCACACCACACACCACACTGGCTCTGCAGGGAAAGGATTTAAATCTCAGGATGGCCACTCCCCATGCACAGCTCTGTGCTTTCCCTGCTCTGGGTATCTGGTGTCAGAGAAACGAGTTCAAATCCCGCATGTTTGCTTTTATTTTTGGAATATTCAAGCCGCTTACAGGATTTGTTACCGTCCAAACAAGATGATCACAAATGAATTAAGAAACCCAATGGTAGGGCCTTTGGATTTGTGTATTTCAGGGATGGGGAACCTGCTGTGTGTGGCCATGTGTTTTGGGAGAGTCGAACTCCCATCAGCTCCAGCCAGCGTGGCGATGGCACTTCCGGTCTAGTGACATCAGGATGGCCACAGGTTCCCAACCACAGTGCATTTTCTTTCTCGGTTCCTGAAACCCTGTTTCTCTTTTCAAGGGGGTCCCCGTAACGCCGGTCTCCAGCACTCTAGCCCTCTTCTGGAGACCGACAAAAGAGCAGAAAGCCACTTCGCAATCCAAGAAGCGCCATTTGCTGCAAACAGGAGCCCATCTCTGCACTGGGACACGAGGGCCCCATTGCCGGAAACAAAATGGCTGCCACACAGACGCCCACAGTGGGATTCAGCCTCCACTTCCAGGCAGCCCTGGAGAAGTGGATGCAGCCGGGGTTTGAAATTCAGGAGCATAGCCCAGCAATCCCCAAAGCAAGGGACAAGGAGGGAAGAGGAGCAGGAAAGTCCTCGACAGTGCTCTCTGAAGGAGAATCAGGAGATTTCTTCAAAGGGCACCAGCGCAACAGGTTAAACAGGAACCAGGAGATGTGCTGCACCAGCAGTGGGAGTCTCAGTGGCAGGACTTCTTGAAGATGGTGGAGTCCCAACAATCTCAATGGGGAAAGGCACCATTGCCAGAGGAGCCGTGCCCATGGGATGACACAAAATCTTTCCTGGCCTCCTTCGAGAAAGTGGCTGAAGCTTGCCGGTGGCCCAAGGAAGAGTGGGCAGCCCGACTCCTGCCGGCCCTCAGTGGAGAAGCCCAACAGGCCTTCAGCAGCCTGAAGGCTGGAGACAAGGAGGATTATGGGAAAGTGAAGGTGGCCATCTTGCGAGAGGAAGCCACGAGGAGGGAGAAGGTGCGTCAGCACTTCAGGGGCTTCTGCTACCGGGAGGCCGAGGGGCCCAGAGGAGCCTACAGCCGACTCCAGGAGCTTTGCTCCCGGTGGCTGAAAGTCGAGAGGCACACCAAGGAGCAGATCCTGGAGCAGCTGATCCTGGAGCAGTTCCTGGCCGTCCTGCCAGCAGAGATCCAGAGCTGGGTGAGGGAGTGTGGGCCGGAGACCTGCTCCCAGGCGGTGGCCCTGGCCGAGGGGTTCCTGCAAGAGGAAACGCGAAAGCAGGGAAAGGAGGTGAGGCCATTTTTAGCCTGAGATGATCTGTTATCGATGTGGCAGCTGTGTGCTGTCAGAGTGACCCTACTGCATTGTGCAAACAGCCTGTGACATTCTTCCAAAACACCCACAAAGAGGTGCATGATTTAAGGGGGCTGAGATTTGTGTGGGAACCCCTTTCCTCTCACGGAGCTGCAGTTCCCAGAATGGTTTAACAATCTGGAAATTTTAGCTCTGTGAGCGGAATAGGGCTCTCCATGCAAAACTCAGCCCCCTTAACAAACGACCATTCCTAAGATTCTTTGGGGATGGAAGCCATGCTGTAACGGTGTTTTCAATTTTTTTTGTCCATTTCTAACTTTCTGTGCTATCTTTTTGTATTCTTATCTCCTTGTTTTTATTGCAGAGCATTCTGTGGCCTGTGCAAAAGGTGGTCTATAAATCATCTCAGTAATGCAAGTCCTTCCCTGGCCTGAGACAGGTCAAGAGGAAGCTGTTCATTCACTCCTTGGGAGTGGATTTGTGGAGACTTGTCTTTCCCTTCCCAAGATGTCTCCCCTTTCCAGCACTCGCATCTCCCTGCTGAAAGGGATGTTCTCTGCTCCTTTCCAGAAGCAGATCCCATCTGAGGAGGTGGAGGCTAAGCTGGAGGTGGATGGAGGAGACTTCTGCTCACTGGGTGAGTTGAGATGCCTTGGTGAAATTCCCTCAGGTGGCCATATAGTGTATGCACCATTCAGTGGCTGAGGCCCTTGCTGACTGAAGTGGGCAGGCATCACCCAGGAGGATAACCTTCTCTGTGTTGGCCCCAGCTCCAAGGAATGCCAACCCTGGAGAGGACCACCTAGGCCCATCACTGTGTACTTCCTGGTGCCGGATAAAAGCTGGCTTCTCAGAGGGCTTTTGCAATTGGCCGAGGTTGTTTTCAGCAGTGTCATTTTGCTTTTCTGCTCTGCTTAGGGTACAAGCCATTAAAAGCAGGACGGAACAAGTCACATATAATCCAAATCAACACAGTATTCAAAATGGGGAAAGCTCCTGAATATCAATAACAACAAGTACACAAACAAAGCAATTAGCATCAAGACTATTGTATGTTTAGAGAGAGATTGAGCTTAAATGGCAGTATAACCAAAAAAAGAGCGGCAAATATTATTTCTACTGTTTTTCTCTCTATCTCCTTCTATCCCTTGTATCTTTTGGTTGATCCAATAACAACTGACTTCTTGATTGTCTTTGCAAATGAAAGGAAATATGTAAACATACTTCTGGGTTTTCTGTTGGCACATCTTTCTGGTTGGCCATGGTGGTGACAGGATGCTAGACTAAATGGCTTTGACTTCATCTGGCTGTAGGCTCTCCTCATGTTCTCAACATGTTTATAGCCGCTTCTAGGGTTCAAAGCCTTCATGAACCTTATCCAGGGGGCCATGCCAGGCTAGTGAGAGGTTGTGGCCTTGGGAGAGTTCCAGACAGAGAGGCCTGGAAGGCTGAATTTGGCCCCTGGGCAGCTGCTAGTTGCCTAAGTAATACTAGCCTAGTTGGGCCGAAAGGTGTAAGGCTGCTTCTTGTAGTTTTCTTTCCAAAACTCCTGGACCCTTCCAGGAAATAAAACTCAGGTTCATGGTGGAAAATTTGTTGGGGGAAAGCATCCCCTGTGTGCCCAGGGAATGAGTTTCTCTATTTCATTTTTTCATTTCTCCACAGGTGAAAGAGGGGTGTCTATCAAGGAGGTGGAGAAATGTGGACCGGAAAATTCCACCCAAATAAGGCCACGCAAGAGAGAGTCTGCCGGGAGAGGAGAAAACGTTCCTCCGCTTCGTGAAAAGGCCTCAGAGAGTCAGCGTAGGCCTTGGTGGCAGCAGAACAGCCTCCCTGGAGCAGGAGCAGTCGGATCCATTCCATGTTCAGGAGGCTACAAGGAGCTCTGCCAAGCCCCAGGCCACCAGGCGATGCAGACCGGTAAGAGACAAAACGCCTGCAGAGTTTGCTGGAGAAGCTTCAGTCACGGGTCTAACTTCACTGAACATTAGAGAATACACACAGGTGGCTAACACCCCAGAGGACAGGATCACACTTCAAAACGACCTTGACAGATTAGAGAACTGGGCCAAAACAAACAAGATGAATTTTAACAGGGAGAAATGTAAAGTATTGCACTTGGGCAAAAAAAATGAGAGGCACAAATACAAGATGGGGGACACCTGGCTTGAGAGCAGTACATGTGAAAAGGATCTAGGAGTTTTGGTTGACCACAAACTTGACATGAGCCAACAGTGTGACGCGGCAGCTAAAAAAGCCAATGCAATTCTGGGCTGCATCAATAGGAGTATAGCATCTAGATCAAGGGAAGTAATAGTGCCACTGTATTCTGCTCTGGTCAGACCTCACCTGGAGTACTGTGTCCAGATCTGGGCACCACAATTCAAGAAGGACACTGACAAACTGGAACGTGTCCAGAGGAGGGCAACCAAAATGGTCAAAGGCCTGGAGACGATGCCTTATGAGGAACGGCTAAGGGAGCTGGGCATGTTTAGCCTGGAGAAGAGGAGGTTAAGGGGTGATATGATAGCCATGTTCAAATATATAAAAGGATGTCACATAGAGGAGGGAGAAAGGCTGTTTTCTGCTGCTCCAGAGAAGCGGACACGGAGCAATGGATCCAAACTACAAGAAAGAAGATTCCACCTAAACATTAGGAAGAACTTCCTGACAGTAAGAGCTGTTCGACAGTGGAATTTGCTGCCAAGGAGTGTGGTGGAGTCTCCTTCTTTGGAGGTCTTTAAGCAGAGGCTTGACAACCATATGTCAGGAGTGCTCTGATGGTGTTTCCTGCTTGGCAGGGGGTTGGACTCGATGGCCCTTGTGGTCTCTTCCAACTCTATGATTCTATGATTCTATGATTCTATGATTCTATGATCTTGGTTGCCCTTCTCTGCACATGTTGCAGCTTGTCAATGCCCTTCGTAAATTGTGGTGCCCAAAATTGGACACAGTATTCCAGGTTTGGTCTGACCAAGACAGAATAGAGTGGTACTATTACGTCCCTTTACCTGGACACTATACTTCTGTTGATCAGAATGCTGAACTAGACAGGCCACATCCACACCCCTCCCTGTGACTCAGGGTTGGAGGGCAAATGCAGCCCTGCAAGCATCTCTATCTAGCACTTGGGACCTTCCCCAGGCCTCACCCCTTTCCAGCCTTGTTTTGTACACTCAGACATTTTTGCGTAGATGGGCTTTGTCCTTGAACCCTGATAAGGATGCCTGCTTGCTCATCTGGTCAGAGGACAGAGGGGTGTGTGAGAGTGCATGTAGAAACTTCGCCTCCCATAAAAAATAAATTTTGCATCCATTGCTCCACGCACTTCTGCCTTTGGCCTCACCCACCAATGGCATGTGGGATAAGGGAAGGTTGCCCAGAGGAGATCGTAGACCTTGGGTTGACAAGGGTTCCTCACCTCCTGGTCCAGAGGGTGAGATAAAATTACCAGTGAGAGGTCTCTCAGTATCTATTAGCCACAACAGTGCAGTAGAACCTCCAGTCTCAGAGTCAGTATACCTCTAAATACCAGTGTTATGTACTGAAGTTCTCACCCTGGGCCAGCAGGGGGATACTGTAGATAGTTATGCAAATGAAGGATCGAAAATGACGTTCAGTTATTGGATAGTTTTAGAAAGTTGCTACTGGAGCTCTATATAAGCAGGCTGACTGAGCCCTTCAGTTCAGTTCTGTTCTGGCCTCTGAATAAACAAGAGCTGTTTGAAGAATCGCTGTGTCGTCTGATATGTTCACCCACAACTTAACAACCAGCTCTTGGGGACATGCAGCAGGAGGAAGGGCTGTTTTCCTCATGCCCTCCTTGTGAGCTGAGCATCATGGGAAACAGGAAGCTGGGCTAGATAGGACTTTGGTCTGGCCCTGCAGGGCTCTCCTCATCTCCCTTTCCATGTGCTTAGCAGCGCCATCTGACTCCACCCCTTTCTTTCAACCTTAACAGGTTACTGGCCCGAGAGCGAGAACGAAGAGAATCACCGAGGCGTTTTGGAGCAACCTAAAGCGATATCAGTCGTTTCAAGAATGGCGACGGAGAACACTGTGACTCGGGCTGAAAAAAGTGGGGCGGTCTCTGAGGGTCTGCGCAGGAAGTGGCAGGAAGGAAATGCCCTGAAGAGAAGGACAGGCCAATCCACTACTTGTGGGGCAGAGGAAAAGGCACCCGGCAAAACTCTGCCACGGCCCAAACGAAAGACGTTTGCCGCGCTTCCTGAGAGAGCTTTCAAGCTCGGTGCGCCAGGCCGCTGCAGGCATGAGCGGCTACACACGGCGGAGATGCCCTTCCACTGCGCCGAGTGCGGGAAGAGCTTCATACACCAGCGAAACCTCAACACCCACCAGAGGCTCCACACCGGAGAGAAGCTCTACGAGTGCCCCGACTGCGGGAAGAAATTCCTCAGCAAGTCAAAGCTCACCAGGCACCGGCGGCTGCATACCGGGGAGAGGCCGTACCAGTGTTCGTACTGCTGGCGGAGCTTCAGCCAGAGCTACAACCGGACGGAGCACGAGAGAACTCACACAGGGGAGAAGACGGCGCACAACCGGGCAGCCCACGCGACAAACCTGGGTGGCAGCTCCTGTGTCGCTGCTCACGAAGGAGCCCGTAAAAGCGAGAGACCCTATAAGGGTTCCTATCGGGGGAACGGCCCCCCTTCAGGCTCTGAGGAAACGTAGAAGGGCCCAACCCCCGGAAGGGAAAAAGGGAAAAGTTGTAACGTTGGCAGCAACCATGGGAAAGCCTCTGTTCTGAAGATGCTCCTTGTTAGATTTCACTTGATTGGTGCATGTGTTACAGATGGGTGCTTATTGCGTGATAGGGTGGGGAGGTGTGGTATAAATGCGATTAAGTCACTCTGCTGAGGGGTGGAAGAGAGAGATGAAGGAAGAAACATCAAGGGAGAAAGAGGAGGTGGAGAACTAGGGGGAAACAGGCAGCAGCTGGGCAAGGAAAACATGGGGGCCTAGGAAAGGGGGGTTGTCTTTGGGCTGCAGCAGGTCTGGGTAGCCCATGGCCCACCAGGGTTCTTGGACTTCAACCCACATCAGCCTCAGCCAGTGTGGGGAATGGGTCAGGGATGGTGGAAGAAGAAGAAAGAAGAAAAGTTTGGATTTGATATCCTGCTTTATCACTACCCTAAGGAGTCTCAAAGCAGCTAACATTCTCCGTTCCCTTCCTCCCCCACAACAAACACTCTGTGAGGTGAGTGGGGCTGAGAGACTTCAAAGAAGTGTGACTGGCCCAAGGTCACCCAGCAGCTGCAGGTGGAGGAGCGGAGACGCGAACCCGGTTCCCCAGATTACGAGACTACTGCTCTTAACCACTACACCACACTGGAAACTGCAGTCCAAGAATATCTGGACAGCCACAGGTTCGTCATCCCTGGTCCAGAGGCCTTTCCCCTCTTCTCCTAATTCAGGGATGGGGAAACAACGGCCCTCTGGTTGTTGCTCCCGTAATCTTCCGTCAGCAACCCCAGCGAGGGATTATCAGCATCAGCATCATTCATATTAATTAGTCACTTCGCTCACAAAAGCGATCCAAGGCGACTTAGAACACTGCATAAAAATCAATACCAGTTACAACAATCAAACCGATGCTGAACGTACGAAAGACATCTGTACGAATACAAGGAACCTGCCTCGCTAGAAGAGGCCACAGGTACTTAAAAGCCCTTCAGATTGAGGGTCATAACGCTAGGTAAAATGGGCGCCTAAAATAGGTAAAGGTGGACCCAGGCAAGCGTCCCTGGGGAGAGGATTCCACAAGCACCACTTGATTTGATTTTTTAAATAATTCTTTATTAAATTTTCCATTTTAACAATCCAATCAAATCACATTAAATATTCCAAATTATACATATACACATGAAATAATCTAAATATTCTGCCAAATTATAAATTTGTTGATGGGGCTTCCCATGCTTCGAGTTCGGGGCCCCGCTTTGGGCCTTAGATGACTGTTGCAAGGTCCAGGTGCAAGTACATGGAGCAATATGTAACTGAAAGAGGCTGCAATACTTTTGGAACTACCAGCCGCTTTGGATGAACTCTGTGAAAAATAACAACAGTTAGAATGGACTCCGATATCTGTGTATCCCCTTCTTCCTTATCTGATTAATTTGGACGATTCAAATATGTCTATTCCTTTGTTATCTTGTGATTTCATAGATAAATGTCTGTCTATCGAGTAAAATCAATAAAAAATTATCTATGTCTTGACTATACTGGCTGCAGCTGATGAGAGAGTCACATGTTCCTCATGCCTCTTGAGAGGTCAAACATGCAGAGAGGCGATGCACACTTGGGAAGGACTCGGTTTGATCCGAAATAGCCAATCCAAACTCGAGATTCTGTCAGGTATTATGTCATTTGAAAATATTTAAAGCACAAATCTTTTTACAGCCACTGGACCTCTCTTCTCAGCTGATTTCACAAAATAAGTGCTTCTTTAATTTTTTTCTAATTCTGATTTCAACCAGGATCTTTGAAACATTTGCAGTTCCTTCCCTCTTAATGCCGCCTGCCTTTCAGAACTTATAACTATGGCAACCCCTTTGTAAGCCGCCTTGGCTCTCGGTCTGGGAGAAAGGCAGGATATAAATAAATATTGAAATTGAAATACATTATTGTCACTTGTACAACTTGTATACAGTGAGATTACAGGGGCATATAATACAATAATATAATACTAAAGGTGAGGACAAAGCTGCTCTTCTACTCAGATCCTGCTTGGAGTACCGGTACCTGCTTGGAACAACTGGGGGCGCCGCTGGCCTGATCCTGCAGCCGGGTTTCCCCTTCCTGCTTCAGAGCCAGAGACCAGCCGGGCGCCCCTCCTCCCTCTCTGCCCCGCGGCTCCGAAGCGGTTAACAGCGACCACAGAGCTTCGATTCCTAGAGCGGAAGGGAAGACTGGGGGAGAGAGGAGGCGCTTCCGCTTCCTGTTCCGCTTCCCCGGGTTGATACTGTCCTTCCTGGAGGCGGGTAACTGGGGGGAGTGGGCCGAGCCAGGGGCGGAATTGGGGGGCGAGAGGGAGGGAGCCGCGTCCCTCCTGGGGGGAACTCAGGGGCGACGGGGAAAGGTCGTCTTCTCCTGGGAGGGGAAGCGGGAGGCCGAAGCGACGCTCCTCGCTGGCCTTGACCGGCCTCTGGCCTCATCCTGCGGCCTTTTCTCCCGCTCCTCTGTCCAGAGAACGCAGAAGGAGCGCCACAACCCCAGAGTGGCAGGTTGGCACGACTGGACCTAATGGTCAGTGGTCCCTTAACCTTTACTTTATGCATAAAGCCATCATTGAAAAAAAATCATCCCTCTCCACTTCCCATTTTGTCTGCTGGGCAGCATGTTTGGTCTTTACACACCTGAGGAAGGGGAGGAAGGAGGGAGTATGGGTTGGGACAAAACACTCATTTCCCCCAGTCTTAAATTTAGTTATCCAGATTTTCACATCTTATTAAAAAAACAAATAAACACTGAAGGTAAAATCTCCAGTTGCCCCATCTATCATCGGAGGGGGAGCTGAGGGGAGATGGTTTCCACACCTTGCCTTGGAGTGTCTATAAGGAAGGGAATTGTTCTGTCTTTCCAGGGATCAGTGAGCTTTGACAAGTGTCCTTGCATTTTGCTGACAACAACTGGGCCCTGCAGAGAGCTCTGTACAAGGACGTCATGGTGGAGGTTCATGAGATGGTGGCCTCTCAGGGTAAGGATCCTTTTCGCCTTCGTTAATAGTTATAATAGGTATGGGTTCCTCAGTGGCTCAGAGTGCCTTCCTTCAGCTCCGCTAAAGGAGGTCACAGTGTTTGTATTTCTCCCAAGTTAGAGGCCAGAAGCCTGGCTGAGAATAAATATTCTTGCTTCTCTGCTACAATTAGCCAGTGAAGGCTTCTGGGTTGCCTCTCTGTGGAAGAGCATTCTTTAGGTGGGGAGCCAGCACTAAAAGACGCATTCCGTATTGCGTCTCTTTGCACCTCAATTGGAGAGGGCACTGTGAGAAGGACCTCTGATGATGAGTGCAGGCTCTAGGTGGATTCATGAGAAGCAGTCCTTGAGTTAAAGGTAAAGGTAAAGGGACCCCTGACCATTAGGTCCAGTTGTGACCGACTCTGGGGTTGCGGCGCTCATCTCGCTTTATTGGCTGAGGGAGCCGGTGTACAGCTTCCGGGTCATGTGGCCAGCATGACTAAGCCGCTTCTGGCGAACCAGAGCAGTGCACGGAAATTCCGTTTACCTTCCCGCCGGAGCGGTACCTATTTATCTACTTGCACTTTTGACGTGCTTTCGAACTGCTAGGTTGGCAGGAGCTGGGACCGAGCAACGGGAGCTCACCCCATCGCAGGGATTCGAACCGCCAACCTTCTGATCGGCAAGTCCTAGGCTCTGTGGTTTAACCCACAGCGCCACCTGCATCCCTTCAGTCCTTGAGTTACATAGGTCAAAATCAGCACCTTGAATTGAAGACAGCAACCCAGAAAAGGTTTTATGTGCTCAGAGCATCTTGCACTGGTCATCACTCTGTAGTTTCTGAACGGTCTTCTAAAGCAGCCTGAAGTATAATGCATTGTGGCAATCTAGCGTGGAGAATGGTGGAAAAAGCATACTAAAAATCTTCTGTGTGGGGGATCCTAATTTGTAGAATACTTGAGTATCTTGTTATTGTTATTGGTTTCTATTAATGTATTGGTTTGTTTGTTGCATGTCCCCCCCCTCACCCCACGAGACCTCCAAGGGGTGCAGACGCCTCCCCCCATCCACTGGCAAAGAGCCTTTTCAGATCCTGACAAAGCTGAATGGTGGAATGTCTGCCCTCTTGTGGACATGCCCTTGTTGGGGGAGGTTCCTTTTCGGGACTTGGCTGGAGGGGAGAGGACTCACAAAGCTTTGCTGCCCATTCCACTTCGCCCCTGGAGGCCGGGGAGACTAGCAGCAAAGCTGAGCAGTGACGCCCCTTTGGGGGTGACACCTGAGGCAGCGGCCCCACACAGGCCCATAGGCAGGCAGGCAGGCTCTGTTGATGTTATTGCCTGCTGGTTTAAATTGTGTTATTTATGGCTTGGTTAATCTTAGGGACTGCTCACCAGAACTTTTCTGATACAAATAACCCTTGATTAAATGGTGATATTTTATTAAAACCAGGTATCACATCATTGATTTTTATGTAAAACACCTTTAACATAGTGCCAGGCCTTGAGTTTTGATATGGAAACAGCTGTATCAACCTTTATTTTAAAAATTTTATTCCATCAGGAGATGTTTGGGGGGTCCTGGATGAGGAGGAGCCATCAGAAGTCTGGCCAGAAAGAGGTGAGGAGCAAGAGAAGGAAAGGAAGTTGGGGGTTCAAGATGGAGCCAACAAACAAGAGGGGAGAGAAACAGTGAAGCCAAGGGATGAACACAGTGTTTCCCAAGAAGATGAAAATCAACTTAACAGGGTGGAGAAAAAACATGAATGTACTGTGTGCGGAAAGAGATTCTGTAGTCGCTCAGCCCTTGTTAGACATCAAAGCGTACACTCAGGGGAAAAACCATATAAATGCCTGGAGTGTGGAAAGAGATTCAGAAACAGTAGCCACCTTAATGTGCATCAAAGAACTCATACAGGGGAGAAACCTTATAAATGCTGGGAATGTGGAAAGAGTTTCTTTGACAGTAGTACCCTTACTAAACATCAAAGAACTCACACAGGGGAAAACCATATACATGCATGGAGTGTGGAAAGAGCTTCAATCAGAGTGCCTCCCTTAATGTGCATCGAAGATCTCATACAGGTGAAAAACCTTATAAATGCATGGAGTGTGGAAAGAGCTTCAGTTGCAGCAAGTCTGTTAAAACGCATCATATAATTCACACACAGGAAAACCATATAAATCCATATAAATGCATGGAGTGTGGAAAGAGTTTCTTTGACAGTAGTACCCTTACTAAACATCAAAGAACACACACAGGGGAAAAACCATATACATGCATGGAGTGTGGAAAGAGCTTCAGTCGGAGTTCCTCCCTTAATGTGCATCGACGAACTCATACAGGGGAGAAACCTTATGAATGCATGGAGTGTGGAAAGAGCTTCAGTTGCAGCAAGTCTGTTAAAACGCATCATATAATTCACACACAGGAAAACCATATAAATCCATATAAATGCATGGAGTGTGGAAAGAGATTCAGAAACGGTGGCCACCTTAATGTGCATCAAAGAACTCATACAGGGGAGAAACCTTATGAATGCCTGGAGTGTGGAAAGAGCTTCAGTGCCAGAAGCAACCTTATTAGACATCAAAAAACTCACACAGGGGAAAAACCATATAAATGCCTGGAGTGTGGAAAGAGCTTCAGCAGCAGTGCCTACCTTACTAAACATCAAAGAACTCACACGGGAAAAACCATATAAATGCCTGGAGTGTGGAAGGAGCTTCAGTCAGACTGCCTCCCTTAATGTGCATCGACGAACTCATACGGGGGAGAAACCATATAAATGTTTGAAATGTAGAAAAAGCTTCAGTGACTCTAACATCCTTCATGCACTAAGAGAATTCACACGGGACAAACCCTACAAATGTTTGGAGTGTGGAAAGAGCTACCGCCGCAGTAACCACCTTTCTCGACACCGGAGAACTCCTTCAGGGGACTAACCCTATGAAAGTTGATGTGTGTAAAGAGCTTCAGTTATAGTAGTTTCTTTACTGTGCATGAAAGAACTCGTACAGGGGACAAACAACACACATTTTTGGGGTGTGGAAAGAGCTTTAGTTGCAACAGCTGTCTAGTGATAAGTTGCCAATAGCCAGGTGCAAAATGTGTCTGGCGCCTGGCTAATTTTGAACACTGCCCCACATTGGTATTTAATTAAAATAAGACATGAACTTGAGAATTTCCCCTCTGATTTACCGATCTGTTCCTTTAGGCAAGCATTTCTCACTTTTGTTTTCAGACTATGTGCTCAGAATATTTAGAGGGACACTATAAAAAATTCTTGCAGAAGAGCTTCTTTGTATATGCTGTAACTAAGCAGTAGATCGCTACCAATATGCTCTATTCTGAACCAAGTTTATCCTTGTTTGATTATGTAAGATACCCAATGCGTGTAATCAACTGCCCAGGAGGACTCCCCTGCCTGAGTGCCCCGTTCCTGCCACTCACCACCTGGCCAGGGCAGGGCCTGGCAGGCCTCATAAGGACAGCTGAGGCGGCTGCTGTCTCTCCCCAGGAGAACTCAGAACAACACAGAGTTCTTTTTAAAATACTTTAAAATTTTACCTTTTTTACCTTTAAAATTATTTCTGGCGTGGGGGATGGACGTTTAGTCGTGTTTGGAAATTGGTCTAATTTTGGTATTTTGTAACTTTTACTGTTTTTGGTTTGTATTGTGTTTTTTTTTTAATAGGTTTTATTTTGTTCTTAAGGGGTGGGGTCAGGGCTGCCTGGTAGTGGGTCCCAGCCAACAAAATGGCTGGGGCATGTTCCACAGGGAGGATGCACTGGGACAACCGATCTTAGTGATCACGGGTAGGAGGAGAGTTATGCTAAGACCAGACCATGTCATTACCGAGGAGGCAGGTTTAGTCGTTGTTTGAGGACTATCCCTGCCTCCGGGTCTGGTCTTGACCGGACGGATACTGGAATCAGCAATGGATACCCACATGATCTGAAGGTGCTGCTGTGCAATGCCAGATCAATGATTCATAGACCACTGCCATCCATGACTTGATCGTGGATGGAGGACTTGACCTGGCATGTGTAACAGAGACTTGGTTGGATGAAGCAGATGGGCCTGTCCTTGCCGCTGCTTGCCCACCTGGCTTCTCTTACGCACAGCAACCCAGGTCATGTGGGCGGGGAGGGGGGTTGCAGTGATTTTTAGGAAGTCATTAGTCTGCACCAGGCATCCTATTGGGAAGACCCAGTTCTCTGAGTGCATGTTCTGGAAGTTGGGCAATAGGGGCAGTACAGGATTCCTTTTGGTGTACTGACCTCCCCGCTGCACCAAGGATTCCCTGCCCGAGCTGCTTCAGTTTGTGGTGAATGTTCTCTTGGAGACACCTAGTTTGGTTGTCCTAGGGGATTTTAACATCCACGCCAACACAACCTTGCAAGGGACCTCTCGGACTTCGTGGAAACTATGGCCTCCATAGGACTGCCCCTGAATTAGCCTGGCCCAGCTCATAGCCTTTGACCTCTATAAGATGTTGGCGATCTGACACTAATAAAAGCGAAGCAAAGAAGTGCCATAGTCAGATCACTTCCTGGTGCAACTGGACTTCTCTGCGACCCATCCCCTCTGCAGGGAGGTGGGACCAATTCGGATGGTCCGCCCCCCGCCACTTAATGGATCTAAATGGTTTCCAGAGAGTGGTAGGGGATGCTTTATCCCATGTTGATGGCCTTTTAGCTGATTCCCTGGTCGCCCACTGTAATGTGGAGTTAACAGGGCTATTAACTGTTTGGCTCTGAAGCGCCCTCTCCAATTGCCATGGAGCCTGGGCAGCTCCGTGGTTTTCCACCGGTCTAAGGGCAATGAACAATCACTGAGATGGCTAGAGTGCCGGTGGTGGATGACTCATTCTGCATCTGACCGCACATGGGTTAGAGCTCAATGTCAAGCCTTCCAAAGTGGCGATAGTGACGGTGAAGAAGACCACCGCCTCTATTGCATCTGCAGAAAACAGACTTATAGAAGACTACAGACTTATAGAAAACAGACTTATAGAAACTACCAGACTTATAGAAGACATCTGAAGGCAGCCCTGTTTAGGGAAGCTTTTAATGTCTGGCGGTCTATTGTATTTTAATATTTTGTTGGAAGCCGCCCTGAGTGGCTGGGGAAACCCACACAGATGGGTGGGGTATAAATAATACATTATTGTGATTATTACTGAAGTCACATATTTGTTGTCTGGTTTGAGAAATCTATGACAAAGTTGTGAGATCTGCAGTTGCTGCCCCCAGACTGAGAAAGTTCATTGAGGAAAACATGGTGGACTGTAAAATATTTAATTGGGAATGAAATCTAAAAACTTATTTGTATTTGTGTGTGTGTGTGTGTGTGTGTGTGTGTTAATATAGGCTGATACTGTATTTTAAAGGTGTACAGTGGTACCTCGGCGTTAAAAACTTAATTCGTTCTTGGGGTCTGTCCTTAACCTGAAACTGTTCTTAACCTGAAGACCATTTAAGCTAATGGGGCCTTCCTCTACCACCGCACCGCTGCTACGCGATTTCTGTTCTCATCCTGAAGCAAAGTTCTTAACCCGAGATACTATTTCTGGGTTAGCGGAGTCTGTAACCTGAATCATCTGTAACCCGAGGGTACCACTATTTATGTATATAATTGCATATGACCATAATGCTTCAGTCAACAATAAACATGTACAGCTTCTAGGCTTTCTACAGCAGAGGAGCTATGACACTTGTGTATCAATAATAATAATAATAATAATAATAATAATAATTATTATTATTATTATTATTATTATTATTATTATTATTATTATTTATACACCTCCCATCTGGCTGGGCCTCCCCAGCCAATCTGGGTGGCTCCGAACAGAGTTATTAAAAACACAATAAAACTCAAATGTTAAAAACTTCCCTTAAACTTTGCTGCCTTCAGGTGTCTTCTGAAAGTCAGATATTTGTTTATTCCTTGACATCTGTGGGAGGGCATTCCACAGGGCAGGTGCTACTACCAATAAGGCCCTCTGCCTGGTTCGCTGTATCCTCACTTTTTGCAGTGAACAAAGGGTGGAGACGCTCCTTCAGGTATAGTGGGCCGAGACCATTTAGGGCTTTAAAGGTCAGCACCAACACTTTGAATTGTGCTTGGAAATGTAGTGGGGGCCAATGTAGGTCTTTCAGGACAGGTGTTATGTGGGTTCCAGTGGCCAGTCCCCAACTATATTTTTGTGCATGGGGGGAAAATCGTGTGACACGAGCCCTACCTGTGTGCACAATAATTATTCAGTCAACATAAACATGTACAGCTTCTAGGCTTTTACAGCAGAGAGCTATGACACTTGTGTATTCAATAATAATAATAATAA